CAAGTATCAGACTCAAGATATAGTCTTTGCGGGGATATCACTATTGATATCGCTTGGTATCGAATAGATGAAATGGAAAAATGTTTGCATTGCATTCGCAAAAAACTCGTGAATCCCTCACTACTTGAAGTAATGCTTCCAGGAATTTGTATGGGTACTTGGACTAACATTGGGCATGAGGAGACCATTTCATTCAGTGCTTGGGTGAACATTTAGTATCAAGCACATTCAAATGAGCTTTTGAGCTTTCATCTCTGAAGTCACGCAAGAAAGGAGACGTGTAAAAATGGGTTAAATCTAAGTGGAACATTAGATGACAGAATGTCACGATATCAGTCGTGATATTCCGTCCAACCATTTTTTTTTAGCTTATCAATCACACACCTCTCATATGTAGAGTATAGTAACGTGAAGAATAAATGGCCCAAACTGAGGTATAAATAGTTGCTTCCAAAATCTTTAAAAAAATAACAATTTTCATGTATAAAATATTTATCAGAGATGTGATTGATGAATGATTAAAAAAAGTGAATAACAAGATGTTTTTTTTATAAATATTGCATGTATATAATAATTTTTAATATAATTGAATATTTTAATCCAAAATTATAATTTTAGAATTTCAAAAAGAGAAGAGTTTTGTTTCAAAAAGTTGTAAATCAATCAAGTTTTAATAAAAATAAAGTGATTTTAAATGAAAAATATTTAAGTTTATTCAAGTATAATATTTAAAAAATAATTCAAATAATTCAAATAAAATGAAAGTTTAAATTAATAATAAAAATTATTATTGTCTGCATAATTAATTCTGCAAAACCATGTTCAAATCAGAACTTAATAAATTTTTATATCAAGCAAAAAAAATTGCTAAATTAGATATGTACAATGATTAAAAAAGTACTTTAATATTATATCATAGATAAAGTATAAGTTAAGATTAGGCAAAATATCTATTTATGAGTTTATGATTGAAAAATTTGCAAAAGTGAATCATTAGCTAAATATTACATATAATATGAAAATTTTGATTGAGCATAATTTGGACTTTCTTGTCAAGGTTTTCAAATTTTGAAAAGAATTTTTAACTATAAATTGGCTGCATAATTTTGAAAAAATAAAACATGCACTCATAACATGATTTTATTTTCTCAAATGTGGTAAAATTACGTTTTTTTAATTGAAATTCACAAATTTAATATTTTCAAATACCAAAAAATTGTTTTAATTTTAAAATTTTTCATAAGATCGGATGAGAAAACTTAAAGTGTTATAGTTTGACTGATTAAATAAGAGGAGAAGAATTCCTTAACAAGATTTGAATTTATCCACGACTCATTTTTTTAAATACAATTAGATAAATAAATTTTTTTATCATATATGTATTTCATTACTTCAAAAATACAAGATGAAAGCATATGTTAAAAGTAAATAAAATCCTGATAAATAATAACATCTTTACATGGTTTAATAAAAGAAGGTGGTCTAGATATATATATATATATATATATATATATATGAGAGCTGATGGAAACTATTTGTAACATTATTTAGGGTTTTAATCAGTAAGTTGTTGGAATCCCGTGGATATAGTTGATGTGTTAAATCGCATATTTTGTTTTGTTGAATATCTTTAAATGTACATTTCATTCAAGCTCCAAAAGTTGTATCTAAGCAATATAGAGTCTAGTCTAGCTCCATCATTTTTTCATGCTCTGTTTCCAATTTGCATTTTTCATGTAGTGGACTTAGATTTCCATTTGTGTGTTGGTGGAGCTCGTATTAGACACGTTGAGAACTACAAAATAAATATGATAGTTATGAAAAAGTTGTAAATTGAGTCGCACATTTATCACCAACAATGTGATCCAAGTTATGACTTAGAGCAAGATTGATAACTTTATTATTGGCAAAAGAAAAGATTAAAGTGATAATTTGAGGATTAATCAGTCTCATCCTGTGACAGATATATAATATGGAAGATGACAGATATGACAGATATATTTTCCTAATGTTAAATCAACTCAATAGAAAATAATGAAAAATTGTTTCTTGTGTTGATAAATTGAGAATTGTGACAATGATGATGAAGAAAAAATTAAATACCTTTTTAGAATCTGTAGTATTCATAATTGATAATTGTGGTTACAAATAATTAAATATATTAACAATATATGTAGATTGATTATCTATGTATATCTATGAACATATTCATTTAAACAAGTATGCAATTAATCGATATTTTTGTATCATGTGATATCATTTAACTCAATGCAATGAAAATTCCATTTTCTTTGTATACAATGTTTTAATTTTTATTCTTCAAATATATCACTTCTAAATTGATATGAAATAAATAAATAATTAGTTATAATTTACACTTCTATTTATTAGAGATAAATAGAAGTGCAAGCTAGATTTATAAAATTATTGATATTAAAAGGACCAATGTTTTTTTTATAAATTTGATATTGTGTTAGATAAAGTTTATAAAATCTAGATTTATTTTCACAATTTGTAGTTAAATTGTATGAATGAAAAAAAATCTGTTTGAATAAACAACATCAAAAATTAACTTTTATTAAATGAAATAAAATAACAATAATAAAATTGAAAGATTTGATATATTCAAATACGATGTACATGATGAGTAAAAAAAAAATACTATGCAATTGATATTTATATTATTTGTTTTCAATCTTAAGTTTCCAAAAATTTTCAAGATGAGGTTGTGAGATGAGGTTGATGAGCTGTATATTATATTTTAAACCTTTGATTTGTAAAAAACTAAATGATTTTAACAATTGCGTAGTATTGTTTGATAACCTTAATCAAATATTTCATTGTCATTAGTTGTACACTAAATTATACAACTCTTGGAAATTAATGAGTTTGAAGATTTACATTGATATTTTTAATTATATAAGTAGAAAAATTTAGAAAATAAATATATATTGAGAAAGAATTGATTTTATCATTTACGTTTATTTCATGCTTATTATATTTGATTATTATGTGTGTTGTTTCATTTTGATAGGACTATTATCACTTATAAAAAAATTGTAAATAATTTGTTGACTCATAATTTATGACAAATTATTATTGTGACAATTTAACAATATTCTTCATCCAATATAGCAATGAAAGTAATTTGATTATGATCATTTTTTTCATATTATTAGTATTTTATTAAAAATTAAACTTTTTTGATAATGATCAATTAGTGTAGAAAATAACTATCATATATGAGGTGTGAAAAAAAAATTAAAACCAATTCTTGTTTCTTATGGATGTGATAACACTAAGATTGTGGAATTTTAATATAAATAATTTGTGACAATTTTATTGATATGTTCCATCATTTAGAAATTTAAACCAAAAAAACTCAATACGCATAGTAAAAATAAGTATATGAAATATTTAAATTTAGTTGAATTTTAAAATACATATTTTTCAAATTATAATAATCAATTAAAAATATTTTAAAAATTATAAATATAAAATTATTTCAATTTTTACAATTTAAAAAATTCGTTTTTGTAGCAATTTTTTTCAGATTTTATATTTTATATTTTCAATTATTAAAAAATTATTTCTTATTTAGTATATATGAAAAACAATTATTTGAATTTATTTGAATACATCTTTAAAATTTAAATAATATTTTATCTTTTTCACTTAAGAAATTTTTGTTTATGAAATTTTAGTAGATTGTTATCTTTGTGTCAAAAGATTTTCATTCAAGTTAAGATATTTCCATGTGAAGAGATTTTCTCAAGTCTTGTATTTTGTAATAATTTTGCAATGACTTGTTTGTAATTTTCTTCATTGAATTTTTAGTTAATAATTGATTTAAAATTATTTCATGTTTTTCTTTTGTATGATTTATTTTTTTCAGGTTGATCGATTGTCTGGAGTGAGATTGGTTTAACTTAGAGTTGAAATTAGTGTGGAAGAATTTTTTTCATAATTTATCGTCAATTTTTAAAGATTGAATTGTGGTAGTCAAATAGTAGTATATGCCATGAAGAACAATGATGATGAGAATTTGCCATTTCGCTAGTGTACAGGAATCTTGGGAATGTCAATGAAGCGTAGTCTACTATTGAAATCTTGCAATGCATAATCGGGTAGGGTTATATGGCCTGTTTTAATCCAGATTGGCCATGGTGATCCTATTGGGTCTTTACTCTATCTTGCCTTTTGGAGGATTGGAGGGGTTCATCCCATGGTGTTGGCCTCATTAGTTGGCGTCGAGCCGGCTAACACTTTTGCCTCACCCATCGAATGACACCACCGTCATACAACAATCGAGCAGCAATGTCGAGAAAGGACATCAATATCTGCGAATAATTTAATGGCAAAGTCGAGATGGCGAGAAGGTGCCTTTGCCACGTGGCGGGATTACATGTTGCACTTTGGGGAGAGCAGGATCATCAGGGCAATAAAGAAAAGTCGGATCATGGTTGAGATACCGCGATGGGGGAATAAATGGGCTCGTACACAGTGGAATAATAAAAGGAATAAATAGTCGAATAGTGGAGGAGAGCAAGAGGAGAGCAGAAGAGAAGAGAATAGAAGGAATGCGCAGGAGGGGAAAGGCGACGAAGGCGTGAATCCGCGCCACGAAAAGAGAGCGGAAGAAAAGAGCTTGTGGTCTGTCGAGTCAGTCGAGCCCAGGTGTCCATGTGCCTATGGCGCGAGCGCTAAGAGCCCCAACATCATGTGGACATCGGAAGATGTGATGAATGTCGTAGTCGCTGTTCTCGACCTAAAAAGGGCCGCGTACAGTCCAGTACAACTGCAGCACCCGCAGAGTGTCAAGAGTCAAGACTCCTCACGGCCCAGGCCCGAAAGCGATCGCGATCTCGACTGTGCCCCTGATGACCGATGACTGCTGTCGCGAGCCCGGCGTCGTCTCGGCCCCACACCTCTCCTCGGCTCGGCTCGGGCGCAGGCTCGGGTTGAGGCTCGGGTTGGGTTGGGTTGGGTTCCACTGCACCGCACCGATAGCAGTCGGGTTAGCAATTAGTGTGGATGCAGATGCACACAAGCGAGAGCGAGGGGGCGAGAAAAGGACCGTGGAAAGGCTATGGCAGACAGTAGAGGATGATGCAGGCACGGAGTCAAGAGGAAAAGGAGGACAAAGGGAATTAGTGTAAGCTCGTTGCTTCTTAGGGCGGTCAGCTGCTAAGATCCGATGCATTCTACGAGACGCAGCAGCGGCAGCCGGGCATAATAAGATGAGATGGCTGCTGCTGCTGCTGCTGACAGGAGTGGACGAGAATAAAAATGGAAAAGCACCAGACTGAGTGCCGGGAGTCAAGAGAGAGGTCGAGGAGATCGTCAAAAGAGTCGGGAGAAAAGGCAAAAGGTCCGCGAGAGCTGAAAGAGAACCGGCGAGGCGAGTCTCCTGGACGTTGACGTGGTGCTCAGATTGTGATAGTTATTATATCTATAAAACAAGTGACCCGGCCTTTGGATGAAAAGGTTTTGTCGCGAGACACAGCGGCGAAGAATCTGCAGAGTTTCCGAAGCCCCAAGCCCCAAGCCCCAAGCCCCGCGAGTCCCTGATCGACCAGCGGATCAGATCGGGTCGCAAACAGAAGACAACAGAGCACAGGCCTCTCTAAGTATGGCGAGTCCGAGATTATTTTCACGAGTGGAAGAGAATTCGGGGACGAGTTGTGTATGCACCCACCGGCAGCAAAAGCCAGAGAAGTGGGAGGGCGGCCATCAAAAGACATGATTTTGAATTTGCAATTAATGAACTCTACCATAGTTGGATCTGAGTGCAGATTTTTGAATTCTGGACGGAATGACGTGTTTGTCTAAGCAAGAATAGAATCGAGACCGAGCGACGGACGAAGGCAGGCAGGCAGTCAGTGAGTCAGGCAGGCACACAGCACTTTTCAGAAGCACACAGCCTAAAAGGTTCTCGCAACGACCGCAGAATGTTCTTACTCATTGTGAGAGAGAGAGTTTGAGAGAGAGAGAGAGAGAAAGAAAAAGAAAAGGAAGCGTTACTAATGCATGGTGTGCGTCTATATTACTTTGCATAATGATCGTGGCGGTGAAATCTTTCGAGGATTTGTGTGGACAAGCGGAAGAGAGCGAACATATGATGTGGAATAAGCTGGAGGCGATGGTGGGGCCTGGATTGAATTGAAGAGAATACGGTGGACTTGTGGAGGTGAGGGAAGAAGGCCAAGGCCGCCAAACGGCAAGCGAGCGAGCCAGCTGGTCAGTGTGTGGCTCGATGATGTACAACAACAACAGCCTCGCCCGAGTGTGGACTCGCTCGATCTTTTTGAATTTCAACGCGCAAGTCAGAAGCGAGAGGTGTGCAAAGACTTGAAGCCGCAGCGCCATTCTCTTGAACCAAAGGGTCCCACCCCACCCGAACCTCAGCTCGGCTCGCTCTCATTAGTGCGCCCCCTCTGCTCCTTTCTCGTCTCGGCGTCGTCACATATTATGCGAACAACTTATTAGTCATGTCGCCTTTTCCATGCTGATGATAGATCGCCTCAGTGGCCTTCCGGCCCGGGCAGGCCTGCGAACATGCCATGGATAATCCTTCGTGTAAGTTCGTGAAGCTCGCGTACGGACGACGAGAGTAGGAGAGTGCGCCATTATTGCCCCGCCTCCTTGGGATTGCGGACTGCCCCATATATAATTTATATAGCGACATATCTATGTGTATCTATTGCTGTCTCGACTGATCTTCCGTCATGAGTGGACATTCTCATTGTGCGGCTTCTCCGTTTTCCTCGCGTGAAACGCTCCTCGCTTTCCAGTCTCCCCAGCATTTCTCTCCCTCGCTCCGTCCCTCCACACACTTCACCTCGGCGCAGAGCGCAATACACTAACGCAGCTGGCTGATTTCAGCTGTTCCGAATTATGACAACTCCGCGGACACCAAGTCAAGCGCTCGAGCCTCGAACGCCACAGCGCGCCGGCCTCTTTCTCCACCCTATGGCAAAAGATAGATCGTCCAAAATATGGAGACACTCCAGGCCGCCCCCCCCCCTCTGGTAAGCTTAAAGAAAGACATATTTATGAAAGAATATCTGACTCCACTCCTCCGCTTTGGGTCGACCTGACAAACATCCACCCGTGACCGCACTCGCCATGTTCCTCGCATGCAGGCCTGATCAGCGGGCAAGGCCCAGCAGCACCTCAGGCCCGCCCCATTGCATCGCCTTCGAGATTACACCTCGATACGTGCCTCTCATTTTCTCATCATCGAAATAATTCAAACATGATTCTTCCTTCGACGACTGCGTTCGGCTGCAGGTGCAAGACCCTTCTGCACGTGTGTGTATGTTATCGGTTGCCACATTGCCAGGCTTGGGATTTTGATGAATAAAATAAGGATGTTCAGCGGAAGGGGATGTGTGTCTTCTATAAACCTACGCACATGGTTGAATTGGCATGGTCAGCGGTCAAGTTGTATTCAGAGCGCTGGTAGCTAGCTAGCTAGCTAGCTAGCTATGCTGTGGAATATGACCGACCCAGCGACATGTAGACCGCAGCCAACAAGATCGTATTTCGCATTTGTTTCGTGTCTGTGAGTGTGTCTGGTGATGACACAGGCAGAAGGTGCGCAGGCCATGTTCATGAATGAATGAAATCTCGTGAAATGTCTTTGTCTTGGCGGTGGGGACGTCGTCCATGGCAGCGATCGGACGAAGATGAATACGTCAATCAATCGTTCGTTCGTTCAGGTCTTCGAGGTCAAGATCGGGATCCGGGATAGAGGCATGGGATCTTTGCAGCAGCGAAAAGTCTCGAGCGATGAACTTCTAAGAGCTCACTTTAATCGATCGAGCGATCGATCGCCCCCCCGCAAGCAAATCGTTCGAAGGTCAACCATCGCAACAACCTCGTCGCCTCTTTCAGCTTTCGGCCTTTTCAGCATGACTAGCCGACAGTGCTGGTGCCACGCGTACGAGCTTCAAACATGGGATCTTTCCGGGAGCGAAGACTTATCTGCGGGCGCGATCTTTCTCCATGGTGGCAACTCTGCTGCGCGATTCCTTTCCGAGCTGAACAAGCGAGCCCCTCGAGCTCGGCCTGCGGAAAAATATAAACAAGTGCCCATCAGATCTATGTTGCTTGATCTCAAGACAAAAGCTCACACAAGCCCTCGGAAAGCTGCCTATGGCGGATGCCTAGGGGAAACAAAATGGTCTACTCTACCGCTCTAAGATCTCTATCTGAAAATGGATCGGCATCAAATAATTGCCGAGCGGCCCCACAATGCGTCCGTCCCTCCGTCCCTCCGTCCCATCGTGAGTACATTATGACGAGAGTCAGCGTGGGCTTTTCTTTGTGTTCTCGCTTTTATTTTTCTCGGTGTGGCACTGCAAATCAATGCCGGTGACTACGACGAGCCTGGCATTAAGAGAGATTAGTATGCAACGAGGGCCAGAACGTGAAGAAAGCGATCTTCGTTGAAAATCGTCGACAGACGGACGGGACAGGCATTGGGCTCTCTCCTCCGGTCTGACGGCAGTGCTGCCAGTATGTGCACAGTCATGACCATGCGCATGCAGAAAGGCAGCAGCAGCGCAAGTGAAGTAACCCGACCGTAAGCCGCGAGGGGCTTACCTCGCTGGCCTTCTAATCTAATGGACTCTAATCGAGATAGCTGGCTTGCTGGCGGGGCTGCGTCTGGGCACCTTTCCACATCGCGCATCCACGCAGATTCCACATGAAAGGGACACCACGAATTAAAGTCACCATTAAAAATCGAAACTGCCGTGTTGCAAGCAGCTTGCGGAGGACACAACTGTACAAGGAGAGAGGTACGAGATTGACGCCATGACGCTTTTTCCCCTTTCGACCAAAACCCCCACCCCACCCCACCCCACCCCGAGGGGCAGGGGCAGGGGCAGAGGGGCCCCGAGCCAAAGGCCGAGCTGAGCTGAAGCACAGCGAGGGAGTAAAGAAAGGCAGACAGCGGCAGTGGATGTCAACAGCCGCGTCAGTCAGTCGCCTTCGCTTCCCTGGCCTGGCCTGGCCTAACCTGCTGCTGCGTCTACGTCTGGAGCACGATTTAATCTATTGTAAACAACGAGCAAAGGAAGAAATCGAGCCTCGGAAGGAAGGAAGCAAGGGCAGAGGCGCTAGATAGAGAGGGCACAGTCACAGAGAGAGAGGGAGAGGGAGAGGGAGAGGAAGAGAGAGAGAGAAGGTGAAGGTGAAGGGGGCGAGGGATTCAGAATGTCCGAAAGAAGTCCATGGAGCGGGCGGGCGGGCGGGCGGGCGGCATACTCGAGTGCGATTCTCGCTCGCAGTTGACGCGGCAGAAGTGCAGCAGTGCAGTGCCCCCACGCCCGCAAGCGAGCACTTTCTCCGAGCTTCTGACTCGGCTAATAACTCTGGCACTGCGCCAGCCAATCCATCGGTGGCTGGCTGGCTTGCTTGCTTGCCTGCTGCTGCTGCTGCTGCACTAACCATCGTCGTTACCTTGCTAGCGGCAGCTTTTCTTATGATGGGCAAACGCCTTTTGCGCCCGTCCTGGCCCTCGCCCTGCCTGTGCCGTACTCCCCTCCCGGCCATCGTCTTCTGTGGATCCATCCTTTCACGCTATCAATTCGGCTTTCTGACCGGCGTCGTCACGCGCATTCCAGGCCCCGACGCTCGCTGTCGCTGTCGAGGCCGGAGGTGCAGTTGTCATCAGTTGCTTCACTCCCTGGCCAATCTCGATCCCGGTCGCCTTTCGGCTCCGCTTGCTTGCTCGCGCTGCTCGCTCTCTCTCTCTCTACGCTTGCTTCTTGAACTCCTCCTTCTTCGTCGTCGTCGTCGGCCAAGTCTTCATGAACAAAAGTGGGCCTGCTCGATCCGCGCGCATCGTCCAGATTCCTCGACGCTGGCAGCCAGGCGTTAAGCCCTTTCCATCGTTCCATATCTAAGGCAGCGGATTTGCATAATGAGTTCTCTGTCCACATGTTCGTATTCATTTGTCATGAGTACCTCAATCACGCATGGCCAGCAGGCTCTCGCTCCTCTCCTCTCGTCTCATCTCATCTCTTCTCTTCTCTTCTCTTCTCACTCGGACTCGGACTCGGCCCCCAATCATCATCATGATCACAAATTCCCATCTACGGTACCGGACAGACATGTACATGTCTCTTTCCTGTGGATTTATTGGTTTTGTTCGCTTACTTGCTTCCAATTCCTTCCTGCATGAGTGCATCCATCGATTCCTACCGTGACCCCATGGAACGGTAACCATCACACGCACACACACACGCACACGTACCGTATGATATCGTATAATGATGCGTACCTGGCTTGAGCACCGCAAGGTATTATTAACAGCCCATAATCACATCGATCGAGCGAATAATACTTTAAAGCCCACGGGCGGGCCCAATTGGCAGTCAGATGTAAACGTTTTCTGTCCTGATGCACCACCGATCATTCATGTCGTCGGCATGAAGTGAAGAAGAAGAAGAAGAAGAGGAGGCTTGCTGGCTTTTCCATTTGCTCGCTTGCGCTCTTTCTTTAAGATAATTTTGAAGGTTGCGGATTTCTTATTCCTGAGAGCGACGAGTAAATGCGGCCACGGAACGAACTTTCCTTTTATTAATATGTTAATATTCTTGGGGCTACTTTAAGTGTCAATTATTGGCGAGCGACTCTGAAACTTACGAGCTTCTTCATGGACGTCCGCTTTTCGTTCGCTCGCTTTTTCTTCTTCGGACCGAGAAGTCAGGACGGCAAAGAACCGCCGACCACGCCCGCTCCTCCTTGACCCCGGAAGAACTGAATTTTGTTTGCAGCAGGTTCCATGTCCGCTACAATGACGGGGGTCGAGGCCACCTGTTAAGCAACCAACCATGATTTAATCTCGCCGGGAGGTCGACCCTAATTTCGGCCCGATTCTGAGACAGATCCGAAAGAGAAAAGAGAGAGAAAGCGCTTTTTCTCGAGCATTTTCGGTGCGCATCTTCGACGCGTGCATGCATGCATGGACGAACGATGACCGGCCAGGCCCAGAGCATCGGTACCTCGGGAGGTCGTGGTCGTGCTGCGTTGTGTTCAGGGAAGAGGACGAGGCCTGAGCACAATTTGTCATCGAGGAGGAGGAGGAGGAGGAGGAGCTCTGTCGAACATGTCGGAAAGATTTCGAGGTCGTGTGAGAGTAATTTATGGGCGCAGTGGGAGGCCGATTAAGCTTTTGGCCACATTCGAACCTTTGGGCCAGACAAACCGCTGGATTTCATTCTCTCCCTCTCTCTCTCTCTCTCAGCGCTTTTTTAATCGCGCTTTCTCGCAAAACCACGGAAATAATGTCCGTCACATGGCATGCATCGCAAACCGAGAGGAGGCACTTTTGGAGGCCCATCTTTTGTGCGCCGCTGGACGTTTGTGGGTCTACTGCGCACGGGCCCTTTGCCCGTCATTCAAGGCGACGCAAGGCCGAGGTTCGGCCAGAGTCAACACGGACCGACTCTCTTGACCGTGGTAGCAAAGCGAGCTGCTCGAGGCCGGGGCATATTTCTTTAATTAATCTCCCGCTGACACTTACAGTGAAAGCGCTCATCGAGTCTCCCGTGGGACGAACGAATTCCGCTCGCATCGCATCGCATCGCATCGCATTGCGTCTGAGCGAGAGGAGGCGCTCAGCTCAGACGGAATCATTACGGGTCAACTGGTCAGGTCTCTACTTGCTGCACTCTACCAGCTGACAGTGCGGAGACAAGGTGGACACTCATGAAACTATGAGACTGTCTCGCAGCACGCGACCGAGCGATGGATGGATCGATGGATCGATAGGGGCGACGAGACGAGACGAGATGAGATGAGACGAGACGAGCTGAATGATATGAAGAATTAGAACGAGACACGTAACTAATCCTAGACCGAGAGACAGCAGTAGTCGTCGGCGTAGCCTGGACGATGGATGGGCTGCAGTCGAGTCGAGTGGCTGCTGCTGCTAGCCTCAGTAGCCTCTGCAGCGCTACGAGCGATGTTCGTTGCACAGAGCGCGAGAGTAGATGTAGACCGAGTGTTGTTAGGTGCATGGCTGATGGCAGAGGGACTCGAATATGCCACCGGTAAGCAGCTCACAAGTGGTGGCTGGCGCTGGGGCTGTGGCTGGGGGGACGCGGAGGAGGAGCATGTGAGATGAGTTGTGGGCTCGGCCTGATGAATAGTTGACTTGGAAGTTTGTCAGAAAGGTGAAACATTCATGCCTGCCTAGCGATGGCGCGACTCGGACGCGAATAAAATATCATTCACAGGGAGCGCAATATTTTATACGGCCAAAAGAGATCTCAGCGCCTGCAGCCGCGGCAGCAGAGCGTGCAGTTCATTAACTTAGACATGAATCTTTCAGCCTACAGTGAGTGAGGCAAATGCATCTATCGCCTCGACGGCTCACGTTTCATGAACCATCTATCCATCCATGGCGAGCGACCTGATTCGACTCTCGATCCGACGAACCGTGTGGCTGGCGCTCGCATCCACACTGGCCGATGGAACCCAACCGAATTGTCGAACTCGTCCGCGTTCCAACACATGACAAGTTCCTCTCGACCGAGAAATTCTCAAATAATTGGACCCGCTGTTGCTCGTTGCACATAATCCTTGCATGCGCATAATCAATCTAGAGAGCACATCCAATGTGTATATTCCTCGCTCGAACACACACTGTTCCCGACGATGTCCGAGACGCCGACCGTTTCAGGCGCAGACGGTTGCGGCTCCGCGAGCTCGACATCTCTCGACCGAGTCGTCGTCAATCATAGGCAGCAGGAGGACGAGAGCGCTACAGGAAGAATCCAGGCCGCAGTCCTCGAATCCGGCCCGGTCCAGGTCGCAGGACTCCAGGCCTCCAGGCCTCCAGTCCACGGTCACCAGGCTCATGAACCAAAAGCACATGAACATGAAATGAGTGAAATTCATAAACAATGGCCCAGCCATCAATCGCTCGACGGCCTCTCCTCCTGCGGAAAATCTGGTGTTTAACGGCCGGACGGCCGGACGGCCGGAACGTCACCGTTGGCACCACGACGGCAGCCGTAATGCTGCGGGGGCAAGCGAGGTAAGCACCTCGAGGGGCAGAGCGAGCGAGGGAAAGTAATCGCAAAGTGGAGTGTGTATCACGCTCCGAATAAAGGGCTCATTTATATGCATAAATAGAACCGCGAGGCAGGGGACAGTCCTAAGCCCCGCCTTTCGCTGCGCCTTTTGACATGGGCAGTAAAAAGGTGTTACGCAGTCACTGTGGTGCTTGTGCTTGTGCTTGCGCTTGGGGCTTGGGGCTTGTGTGTGAGTGATTGAGTGAGCGGGCCATCCGTACCGCAAATCAACGAGGAATTTTCGAAGCCCGTGAAGGCGACTGTGTCACGCCAGCAACCGTATCGTATCGATCGGAGCTACGCCGGCCGGCCGGCCCGTGGTTGGCTGCCGCGACGACGGGCGACGACGATGATTATTTTAACTAACTACGACGACGACGACGACGAGGATGATGATGATGATGATGATATGACAACGACGACGACGAGAGCAAGGCTGCATTTTGCGAGGATTCAGATATTTTCCGAGTTTCATGAACCCCGTTGCACCTGTCATCCTATCCGTCGAGGCAGGCTCGCAGAATCGAGAATCCAGAATCCAGAACCGCCTCGCCCGCAGCAGCAGCAGCAGCAGCAATGCTCTTGTTTGCCCCCGTCGTCTGCACGAGGTGATAAATGAGTTCCGTGATTCCTATGAAGATGCGCTTTCTTTGAAGCCTTTCGAGATCTCTCGCTCTTTTCGGCCTTGGCATCACTCCCCCGCTCACTCCCGGACTCGGTCACTCCCTCCTCCTGGCTGTCTGTCTGTCTGTCTGTCTGCCTGCCTGCCTGGGGCCTGAGCAGAATCAGTCGGGTCGCTGGCCACAACCACCATGATGGCCTCGAAGACCGATTTTCTCATCCGATTCAACAGCTACGAGGCAGAAGGCGATTAGGCCCATTAGGGTTGCTCTTTTCGCTATGGCGACATTACAGCAGGCGGTCTTTGTGTGCCCGGTGCAGAGGATGGATAAGCGGGCTAGGGCCGCTAGGCTGGTTGGCCTACGGAAGGCTCGACACCATCCTTAAATGCGCTGCGCCTCCGAAAAGCGGAATGATGTCACTTTTGGGAAAAACCGACAGGCCCTTACAGAAACAGAATCTACCACTGTGCGCGGCTGGAGCAAGAAAGCGCGCACACGCACTGGACATGACTCCGTTTCGCAGCCGAGGCATGAAGGGCCGGGGCCGGGGCTGGGCTCTTGAACCTTTCGGGGTCCAGAAGGGGGCCTTAAATGACACCACAGTACAGCCGAATGAATGAGCCTAAAGCAAAGCTCATGGCAACACCGAAAGCTGACCGATCATGCTTTCATCCAGTCGCTGCGGTCAACTTTGACATCGTCCGTCACCTTCGTCTGCGCCTTCGCCTTCTCCTTCTCCTTCTCCCTCTCCCTCTCCCTCTCCTGAGCTCCGCTGGCCCCGAGCGCGAGCCATGTACGAGACTTTATTAGCGCCAAATGTCATCTGAATGACGGCCCGCTCTTTTGCTTGTGTCCGGGCTCCATCCATGCTCCGGCCTTTCTCGTGCATGCATCGCAAGTCGGAGCTGGTTCAGAAGCACTGTGTCTTCCTGTCTGTGCGTGAGTGTGTGTTTGTCAATGAACTAGCAAGCAGCGCACTTCTGAAAATAGACGGATGGACGAATGGAGTCAGAATCTCACCGAAAGGCTTTCTTGAGCTGTTGATTGTCTCCTTCCTCTCTCTCTCTCTCTCTCTCTGGACTATAATCGCGTTGGGGAATTAGATGCCGCTGGGCTCTGCAGCACACTTCCCCGATCGCTTTTGCTTTTGGTAGAGTTTCCTTTTGAACAGAGGCAGAAGCACTCGCTTGCTCGCTCGCTCGCTAGCAGCTCGCATGTGACAGTCTTTCGGTGAATGTCCATTAATTGGAATGGCGCCTCTGGCGACCGATCCAGAAACTTCACCACGTCGCTGACGTCGCGTTCCGTTCTCCTTAATTTCCATCGTTTGTCTTGTATGATCTCCACGACTGGGGTAGGTAAGAAGGTCGGAGAGGGGACGCGGAAGATGCCGGCACCTGTCAGGCGGGGGGCCTGTAACGGAGGGATCTCCTGACTCGACGATCCTCTGTCTTTCACGAGCCTTCGAGCGCTTTAAGCCCTGCCCCTAATCTTTCTCCGTCCCATGGGGATCACTCAATCACGCAGACATAACCAGGTGAACTGAAATCAATCATGCTTCCGACTCTAGCTAGCTGCCGTGCAGTGCAGTGCAGTGCAGTCGGATCTCGCGGATTTCTTCCATCGATGCTTTCGCTGCAGCTGAGCTCAGCCGAGCTGCGCTGTGTTCTCTCGCTTTCTCGCTTTCTCGCTCTCGTTCAGAAAAGGCTTTTGCGCGATCTCTAGTGCTGGGAATATGACGCAGAATCATTCATTGACTCTTGCATGCTGAGTCCGCCCCTCGATCGCGGCAGAGAGAATCATCTTAAACTTGTACGATTCTCTTTACTGCAGGGCAGACAGCTCCATCCGACGCGACTAGCTCCTCGTGGGTTTCTGGCTCACGGAGCAATTACGTGACGCAGAACGCTCGATTCCTTCCGCTACTTCCATCGACAGAAAGCGCTCTATCGAGCGGTGATCGCCATGCATGCACTCGGCGGACTCGCGAGCTCTCCATTGCGCTCACTGCCCTGGATCGACGGATGCAGCACTGCAACGCAAACGGTCTTTGCGTGGTCAGCTCGAGCACTCGGGAGCTCGTCCGTCCTCGTCGCAAACTGCAACGATCCCATGTCGTCCTCTCATAGCGCTGGGGCAGAAGTTGCGCAACTTGGAACATGGAAAACTTTGATAGAATTATTAATTTGGATTATTATATATTTATTTAAATTTACATATTTTGATTTAAATAATTATTATATATCAAAAAATTGAATGGATTTTATTTTTTTTAATGGTTCAAGTTCAAACTTTATATTATAGAAATTTTGAACAAGTATTATTACAAAACCTTGGAAAAATTTGTTTGATGTAAACTTTGGGTAAAGTAATTTGCTTGATGTACTTTTCGGATTTAGTTTTAGTCCATTGGACCCCAACGACTTTGTACTGTCGATTATAGTTCTAATAACTATGATTGATGGTTACAATGCGAGTATTACAATCAGAGATCAATCCCTTATTATAATTTTTGGTGAATTATCATGCTGGTGTATTATCATGGGGACAAATATCTATTTTGCTCTAAGTGCAATTTGTTGTACTTCAATTTTCCCGATTGCATCGATTCGCGAATTTCTTTGTTGACTCCCCCTTGCGTATGCAACGAAAAGCTCGTACCGGAAAATGGTCCGAACTCAAGTCTCGCGGTCACCCATTTGTGGTGAATAAGTAAACTCCCATTGAGCATTTCTTTGCCGTGAGGAATGGCCGAATACATAATGACAAGTGAGCATGATAGAGTGCAAAGTCCACTCTTTCCGCGGGTGTGGTTGACTCGTTACACTCTCTCTAAAACTCAAGTCAATTTTAGAACATGGGTGACTGTGCATTGCTCACAAAGTCCCATAGTATAAAACGAAACTTGAATGGTCTTATAAGCAAATTACTTTTCGCAGGGAAAATATCAAAGAAATCTCTCCAAAATCTTGTCAATAGAAATATGTAATTGAATGTATATTTTTGTGATTATGTTTTTATTGTTTAAACTTACATTTTTTTTTTAACTTTTTGAAAAATTCAAATTAACGAAATATATTTAATAAAATTACAATTATATTATTTATTTAACAATGTGTGAATAAAATTCCCCTAAAATACAATAAGAAACATTTAACAAGTCAACATAATTCTCAATAGAAAATTTTCCAAATATAAACATGTATTGAAAAATTTAAATGTTTTCTTATGGCGTTATATATATTCTAAACATGTTCATCTATCACCATAATTGAAAATTTCCTTATTTTATAAAGATTATTATTCAAAACTATGCATGAAAAATCAATCTTATCAGTTATGAATTTAAAACTAAACTTAATAATAGTTGATACTTCATATATTGAATACATGCTTAACATATATTTCAGATTAATTATTCCGTTTTACCGTTGTTAATTTTTCCCATGATTTTATACTATTCTTACAACATAAGTTTATTCATTAGATTATATATTTAAATGTCATAAGTTAATGTGCAGATCAATATTATTTACAAAATATTGAAGACATTTGACATGTATTCGTTTATAAAATTTACAGAGGATTATGATTCATAAAAACAACATTCCATAATTAAGATATTTGCTTTTAAGGTTTAAATATAAATTATGATGACACTGTTAAATACATTTCTGGCAACTGAAACAAGATTTTAAATCCCCGAATTTTATCTTTGGAACTATTTTCAAACCATTAGAACAATTATGATGTTAAGTAGTACATTGAACGTGACAGCAGAATCAATTAAGCCAACATCGATGCACAATACAATGTGTACAAAATGAAAAGTGTGGAACACTTCATAATAATGTAGTTTCAACAACGTTCCTTTCATAAAAATAATTTGAGATCAATGTTATATTCTATGTATATTGTTTTCATATTCGTGCACTGAGTGTTACTTCGGTTTTCATTCGTATATTGACCAGCTTTTACAAATATAGTTATCTAATTATAACTAGAATGACATAATAAAATGATATTTTTTTATCTACATTGTTAATTTATGATATTTGTTTAAGGTACCTAAAAAGATGAAAGATAAAGCAAAACGCAGAACTGAATAACAAGTTGAATATATTGTTGTCAGGTAAATCTTTAACTCCACATAGGTTCGACTATTCATTTACCATACTTTGGTTGTATTAGAGAAAAGCGTAAATCGATAAACTAAATCAAAATATGGATAATTATGGACGCTGATCTCCATTCCTCTTGATGAGATATATATAGTCAAAACATACATGTCTTGAATCTCAAATTTTGGAGAACAACGAACGATTTGTCCGATCAGGACAAATCGTTACAATGAGGTTATTGGACCATCCAAACCGGCTCTCAAGGTAGGCAACTCCAGGAAAACTACTTGCAGTGTAGTTAGTAATACAAGGATACCACAACGCTCCAGAACATTACATCGCAATTTGGCTACACCGTCATGCATATTTTCATCCGATTCTATTATACAGCATTCGTTCAAAAGGACCGAAAGTCAGAACTGAAGGAAGAGATTATACGTCATCCTATTTCCAAAAACTCCTGCGATTGCGCCAATCTGATATATCAGAGAGCCAAGGTCTCCTTTCGGCCTACTTGAAATCTTTTACAGTAAAACATATATGTGACCGAAACAAACGAAGTCGTGAAGACCTCTTGTACACATAAAAACCCTTGGTATCTGCGGCCTTGAATCCCTATAAGTTACTGGCACCCTACTGTTAATTATGAGTAATTGACTGCTGTCCAACGGGAGAATATTCACAATAAACTGTTTATGGACGAGGAGGCCTTTCCTCACCACGTCTTCTGAGACCAGATCGCACGAGGTAAATTTTGTTGATCAAACGGGAAGATCCAACCAGTTGAGGGTAAGAAACTCTTCACTTCTTCAGTATAATCTGCATATATGACCAAAGAAACAAATAAGCTTCTTGTCTAACGCCATAAAATTACGATTCCGCTATCGAGCCAGATCTCAACATGTCAGAAGAGCACCTTGAAAAAAAAATGAAATAACTTTGAAGTACTAGATCGAGACTTATTCTCAAAATTTTCTTTGAAGACTCATGTGCGACACACATGCTGCCAGCGTTTGAGTGAACATACCATTTCAGTTTTCGAGCAAAGAAGACGCTTTAAGGCCGGGCGTATGGCAGAATTTGAGGGGCTGCAGGTCGTCACTCCTGAATGTTGAGGGGGACGACCGTAGAGTTTCATTGGTAGGTAGACAGTATAAACAATAAGGTAAATGTTTCCACAGCCAGTCATTAACAATGTATCGCGAGAACTACTAACCTCGGAGTTGTAACTTCTAACATCAACTTCAGGGACTCAAAGTGCAAATGAAAGCTGCAAGTCATTACCTGCAGTTCCTCAATCTGCAATGTAAAGAAAGAAGCCTCATCCCTGATCTTGCACATCGATATTCTGAATGCCTCAAAAGGCGTTTCCGGACGTTTCAGCGTGGCCTGTAAGCCTAAGCCATTGCAAGCTCAGCAGCTGCACCAACTGCTGCGGAGTCTCCACGCTCCAGAAGCGCAAACGCTAGTTCGTGTTGTTGCCACCACCTGAGTCCTGTTGCAAGTCGCCGAAGGGTTTCGGTCTTCACATCTGCTATCCAGTTAGGTGTGCAGGTAACCATCAACGCCACAAATCCGATGACGTATGCCTTCCAGGTGATCTGCTTGCACCTGATTGAGATTTTTCCGTCCAATCCACTTGCTATGAATTCCAAATGTGAGCCCAGAACGTGTTGTCTACACATATCAGAAGGTACTCCCGCGGGTATTCCCGATCTTACACCAAAGACAGAAAAGGAAGAAGGGAAGGTTTTCGAAGACGAGATACCCCAAGCTAATGCTCCAGAGAGTAGAACAAAGCGGGCAACCGCATAGCCCTCTAAGATTGTACCCTTAGACTCACTGTTAGCATCGGGACCAGACAAAAGCCAAGTGGGGAGACTCTCCAAATATAACTTTTGTACGAGCGTCGCGCCGCCTGAAGTGGTTACAATAGAAGCCCCCAAAGCCGATGCCTGACAAGCCCTAGCTACGGCTGTACTTAACGAAGGATGGACACATTTGAGCTTTGCAGCAGTGGAGGAGATTGTTTCTAGATCTGGATCCGTTTTGCCTTGCATTGCAAAGTCTCTACTTGATTCAGCTACGAGCGCAAGAATCTCATCACTAACAAACATAATGTCATGAAGAGTCGGGAAAGATCTCAGGTATAGCATGCCTGGCGCAAGTGAAGATAACCCCGGAGAAGCAGGCAACCAGTGACCATGGCCCAACAAAGCTCCTACACCGCCATGGCCCTGTAATTTAGATGTTAATGCAGATGAAGAGCACAAGGTAACGGAGAAGCAACTACGAAGAAGCTGCGAGACGGCTTGCTTATTTTGCTTGAAAACAGCCCTCGACGCATTGAACACAATGAAGTCATGCCAGCGGCGCATCTTCTGTGTCCACAAAGCTGCCACTACTGCCATTGATGGCCAAGGCCCACCTGCACCTGCTGTCTCCAGTGCAGGCCCGGCAACACCTAAAACCATCTCTGATTGTTTATCTAGCTTGAAGGTGATAGTCAAACTCACTAAGGCTGCAATCGGTAGTGGTAATGAAGCAGGTGCATTACCACCCACAGTTCCTGTCAAATAACGTGAACAAAGAGGAAATGAGATCACTCGAAACGTATGGGAGCGAAAGAAGTGGTCGATACCGATTGCATCTATTTACCATTCTATAATGTAAACACATAAAAATGAGTTAACGATCTAGACGCCAAGAATATATATTACAAACAATCGGCCGTTTCTTTTGAGACTTTCCTTAGATACAAGGGCTATAATGAGGAGCCGTCATACCTGTAACTAAGCCCGGAATATTGACTCCAGCGCTTGCGAGGATGTCCTGAATCTCAGCTTCCACTGCAAAGAGATTGGCAGCGGGACTCGGCCAATCATTTCCATTCATTGACGCAGCTTTGTATAATCCACGAGTGACTTCAGCACCACAACAACTTACGAAAGACGCGACCGTTGCTGGCAGAAAGTCCACCATTTCTCTTAGTCCTGAGAATCCCAGAGCGGACAACAGCTGATTAGTATTGAAAGAACTACTGATAATTTTCTGGGTCCCAAGCTTAATCTCTTTGCAGTAGAATCGTCTCAAACCGTGTGGTAATTGTTTTGTTTTTAACTCATACTTAGAACGTGAGGGTCAAGACATGATCATGCACAATTCGCATTCAGTAGATTCACATAGAGCAGAATTCACAATATGGAAAATAATTACACTTGCTTCAATTGAAGGGAACAAAACCTGTGGTCAAATCTCGGGGAGACAATCTTCCATGAGAGCAAGCGGTGAGTACTTCGTCGACTACAAACGGTACGGCAGCTATAACATCCCAAGGTGCTAGAGCTGGTCTTTCGTCCCCTCCGTGTCCTCCAGAATTACTGGAACTGTTACTAGATGTAGATTTGCTGAACTTCTTAAACATAAGATTCAAAAGCCGGTCTGCAACCTGGTGCACTGGATTACCTCGTACCAGACCCGACAACGTAGACGCAATGCAGGCCTGATGTTGGGTGTACCAAGCCTTGAGTTTCGGAAATGAATCCAGAGTAACATTTTGAGATAAGGGAGTAGGTGTAGAGGGCATCGGACTCCTTATCGATGACATGGAATGAGAAAAGGAAGGACTTAGAGGTGACATTCTTTTATTGTGCATCTGCTCCACAAGAGTATCCTTCTTACCCTTATCTGCACTATTGGCCATTGAACACTGAATTCCACGTATTTGTAGTAGGTATTCCAGACTCAGATCTGCACCCAAACCTGCCCCGCTACCAAGTAGGCAATGCTCCAGAGGTGGTCGATGAAATTTCCAGAGTCTAATCAGGAGCAAAAATGCCAAAGAGAAAACTTTGTATACATTAATATCTTCTCCTGTACCCGAAGGACGCGGAACAACAGGAGGCAAAGAGCCAAACACCTCGCATATAGGGAGCAGTGAGGCTGCAAGCTCTGGAAACTGAAATCATCAGGGAGAGCAAAGTCAGAAACCTTTTCACTCATATAAATTTGGTTGGGTTCAGCAGCATGAACAAATTCTATAAAAATAGTCCACACAAAGGTATCAGCAAAGACTTGAGATCATCCTACTGTACAACCTATAAAGGTCAGCCACCATAAAGAGGTAGGAAGATACAAACCATTCCATACAGAGCCAATATGTTCACAGAATCTACTGAAGTCATTCCATCAAGAGCTGCTCCAAGCATGGGCGCATACGCAATTAGGTGGCTCCCAGTGCCCCGGTTATCAGGACCGGAAGGGGGAGATAAGAGCCTTACAGCCAAGCGGACTGCGTGCTCCTGTCCAGAGACAGACAGAAAAAATTCCAAGCGGGTCAGAGAACGTAAATTGAGCGTAAACTCCGTTCTACGCATTGTGCGAGAGACCCAACAGAAAAAAGATAGTAATTAACACTACGACTGGTTCCGCTTTTCCTGGAACAAAACTTTTACTTTTCTTTCGTACATGAGCCCGTTGGCACCACATTGAGCTCTGCACAAACTTCGTCTGTAGAACTTCGAAAATTCTAGTGAGGCAATACCTGAACATTCCAGCTGCGAGTGAGTGATGCTCCACATAAAATACTAGCTGCTGCTGCTCGTTCTTCCTCGGGTCCACTGATCGCAGTTTGGAACACTTTCTCGAGTTCTGCTAAACTGTGAGCCAACATTCCTTTCAGGCTTTCGGTCATAAAGACTCACAATCAACATTCCGCGATTCGGCGTATCGTATCACTTCATGTGCTGGTCTAAAAAGACAAGGAGACCTGCAACCTAAGCTTTTTCATTAAGGTGATTTGAGCCTACGACGCCTTCTAGTAGCAGCGATTCAGGTGAACAACATGAGACCGCACACGTAAGTTCAGGCAGCCCACCACTTTTTACCTCTCAGCTGGGCTCGACAACAGAGCAGCTTGTAATGAACCAGATATAGGAGCACCCTCCATGAATGCAGACCAGGGAGAAATTTGAGGGGTTGTGGGTGCGGCCGTCATATTATTTCCCGACATACCAGTTGAACTGATCCAGAGATAGGCTGTACTATCAAGTAATCCTCTTGAAATACAAGCCTCCACAATTAAGTGTCTCATGTTTCCAACTGCGAACGACAGTACAGAGAGTCTTGGTCACGTAAGAATGATAAATTGCCAGAAAGATCAAAACTTGTTCTGACTGAATATCAAAACTGACCGGCACTTGAATGGTCAGAAGAGAACCTGCTGACTTAGGCATAGTATTGTTTTCACTTGATAACATAGAACTTGCGTTCACATTCGCCAGGATTGATGCTATCGACTGTGCAGCTTGATTTGCAGCAGCGACAGCAATCTGTGGTGTATAGAGCAAGGCTTCAAATTGACCCAAGGCTTGCAAGCTTGAAGCGAGAGCCGCTCGCCGGGTGCCCTGTCTTGACTTATCTTTTTCATCTCCGTTGGATGTGGATATGATATCACCTCTCGAGTTTCCACCGGACGAAGACATGGCTTTCTCTTCCTCATCAATAACTATGACACATGCGAGCGGTACGAGAGACAACAACATGCATAGGCGGGACTCGATATGTGGTTTTGGACCCTCCACCCACTCTCGATCCTGCATCCAACATGAGAGTTCTCGAACAAATATGAGAAAGGTGGAACATTTAGAGTACCAGACATCATCAGCCAGTAATAACTGGGGTGAAATTGATTTAAAACTTAAGACCTAGATACAGACATACCCGATGCGTGAGGCGAAGCGCGGCTGTCCACAAGCCAAGGAAAACTTCATGCCATGTTGCTCCGTGAACTGCTTGTAGTGCTTTCATCAAGTCTGAGTCGAGAATCACCGAGTCAGGAACAACAGCTGGGATTGTGAATGAACGACTAGATCGTCAAATTTGATCACTACTGGTTTTGAACACATACTACAACTTTCAAAGTCCGTGTTTTTAACATTTCTCGGGGAGGGTAGTGTAAGAAAACGCTTCGCTCTCTTTCCTGATGTTTTACTTCCGAGGCCCGTGAAGGACCTGTTAAACTTTCTTGTCAACTACCTCTTCACAGGGAGAACTGAATAGACGAGACAGCAGAATGGAAGTGCTCAGAATGACCCCCAGAATAATTTCTGAGAGGTCCCGCCACATTGAATGTTGAAAGCACGGAGGAATTTTTAAATAAATAAGGTACAGTCAGACATTTTCTGCGAACTACGGCAGATTCTATTAATATGCCTTAGTTCACATAAGGAGGATAAATGAAAGTGCAATTCTAAGAGGTAATTTAGAATTGCAAAAATAATACAAAAAAATAAAACAAAAGACATATATTCGAACCAAAGGACTCACTGAAAACACTAAAAAACCTATTGACAATGGGATCACAGGTACGCAAACCGGCAATCAGAAACGCCTTCAAGACAAACAACTTTCCTCGTTCAGAGTTTCCGTATTCAGCACAAGGAGAACGGTTACATGATCACAAACTGAAGATGTCAAGACAAATATTTCGGCAAAAAAACTCCCAAAGAAATCGAACGACTAACTTTGAAGGAAGGAATCGGTTCTCTGAACAAGAGAAGGGTTAGTCAATGTAAACGCTCGAATGCATCACAATAATCCAATCACTCCAATCCAAATTTGTTACCACCTAGTTCGTGAGCAACAACCCCCCGAGATAATTGCTTCATGTCCGCAGTTACTGTCGATAACTCCGGAGTAGCTTGGACAAATCAGATCACGGTATTGTGTAGCTCGAAGTAGAGAAAAGTATTGTGAAATTCAAAAACAAACCGCTTCACATCGTCAGGAATCTTGTCTACTAGAAGGAATGTTCACGCACTGACCGAAATCTATCGAAGAAAAAATAACACTGAAGAAGACTAACGTAGCATAAGATGCGCAGAGTAATAAAAATCTTTGAAAACCTTCATGTGAGATAAATCTTTAAGACGTTGGAAGCCATGTCTAATTCAACTATACCACTGGTTGGCACAACAAGGTGTTTGTAGTCCCCGGTTTCTTAAAATAACCAGCAACAGGCTTGTCACTTTATACCCAGAATTCTTGAAGCAGACGATCGGAGGCATCAAAAACCAAAATGGACAACATAGGATACACAAAGGATACGACCATTCGAAATGAAAGAGCCTCGTCTCTTGAGTAATCTAGATAAAAAAACTTTGTGGCAAAGTCGAATGTATTAACTAAGTGGAAGTAAGATAATACGATCTGAAGGAACCAGTGTATGGAAAGCTTGCAAGTACTTACGTTAGCGCAGTAACTCACAAACTACTCAATCATGAGTAGGTATTTACATTCAAGAAAACACTTTTAGAGGCCATGGCATCATCAACCGTATCAAATTATCTAGAGATTATACTAGAAGCATACTTCAAGGACAGCGTAAGAGATCAAACATCTAGTCTAAACACTACTTTACCACAGAGGGATCTATTTGCTTTAACGCATTCCCTTACATAGCAACGGAAAGACCATACTCTCTCATCAGTATTGTGTTTAAGAAGTAATGTCTACGAGCTCGTCCTGCACGATGCATGAATGGACCCAACAACATGTAAACCTTCGGTGCTAAGGAATTCTATAACTCATCGACGTCATTGTAAATGCAGGATCAGAAACAACACATCTAAAATGTTAAGTCGGCAAGCCAAAGTAGTTTGGAAGTCAGTGAGGTCCATTCTAAATCATTTAAGAGAAAATTGCTATTCAATGCGGTGTGTAAATTGTACTTTTAGCTATTCTGTTCGAGGATACAGCTAATCCGAGACGAGCTTCTAACTTACTGAGATCAGTGGTCATCTGTAATTTGAAAAGTAGTAAGTGGTTAACTGCCAGTAGTACTTAGAATACACTTCGATGTTCTCGTCAAGCTTATTCTGCCTCTAAATACTCATGTGAGCATGTGGACCAGAAGAAATACATTCATTGATGTTACTAAGTGTAAAATTGACGATCAAAAGACAAACAATCTTGTGACTCTGTATACCATAGAACCAAATTCCATCTCTGATGATGACCCCAGGTACAAATGTACTCATTAGTATGTGTCTGACCTAGCACGAAGACCATGGACTCCTTCATCCTGCCTGAGCCGTGCTACTCTGGAGATATTGAGTAGTGGAAGAAGAAGAAATTAAAGAGGATGAACTAGGAGGACAAAGAAAGAGGACTAGTTGTGACTTTATATACCATTAAACCAAATTCCATCTATGATAATGACCCAAGGTACAAATGCGATCATTAGTATATACCTCTCATAGCAAGAAGACCAAGGACTCCTTCATCCTGGCTGAGCAGTGCTAGTATGAAGATATTGAGAAGTGAAGAAAGAAGAGATGGAAGAAGTTGAACTAGGAGGACAAATATAGAAAACAACATTTAACCCAAAAATATGATCTCTCTTGTAGTACTCATTTCATGGGTCAGTATCGGAAATAATCCGAAGTAATCCGAATTTGGTCACCCCAAGTCTACCATCGGTGATGTCCTTCAGGTTGAGAATAACAAACCAGTACATGAGGCCTACATATCTACTGTAACAGTACCAGACCCAAGCACAAACGTTATCGGTGCGTAAGGCGAGCCAACAAGGTTGGATACGACATTTCGATACATTAAATTTTGTAATCAACTTTAACAACAATGAGGGCAGATTAGCACAAAAGCGGCAGCACAAAAGTAACGAGGCCAAAACACAAATCATACGAAAGGTACTTCAGATTGGCAAAACATTTAGGATTCTGACGGAGGCATTTTTCATCATCTATCAAGTGACTCATTCACCTACATAATCAAGAAACTTGCAATAATTGAAGGATCAAAACAGCGGAGTCTTCAATATCTACCCGCTATTCTCATCATCTATTAGCGGTCCGGTTGATAGGAGTTTAGGTCTTGACCTGAAATATTCAAACAAACAGGTACAAAGAGCAAATAGTCCTTCAACTCCGTCAAATGGAATCACGGGAGTAAGAAGCAACTAGTCAAAGTTAATCTAGAATGGAAACCAGACTCAGAAATTTTTTTGATAAATTACACTCTCGATCCAGAGGGTTGGTAAAAATAGACTAAAAGACACAACATTTCACAAAATTACGGAATACGTGTAAGCTGAAAGTATGTGTGTATGTGGCTTAAGAAAACCCCTAACTTCATTCAGTTGGAACACCCATAGCATGATGCCAATTCCTCCATGACAAACTGGCATGGCTCCCTGCTTATCCCGTCGAGAGTGTCAAGATGTTGAAACATCTCCCCAATTTGCAAGTTTCCAAACCAGAAACGTTTCCTTTCACTCGCTAGCTTTAACCTATCAGTGGTAAAACTGATCGGAGTGGGGTGGATGGGTAACAAACCTGCTAAATATTCTGAGGGAGAAACAACTTGAAGCCTTTGCTTCTCCATCGCGCTTTCCATGTATACGTCAAACGGTAGCCAGGGACTTGTGCACCCAATTCCCCATGTGTTTCCAAAAGAGGCACTTCGAGATCCACTGTCCAACATCGCTTGGATGACAGGTAGCTGCGTTGGCTTCCATTCTCGGTGCAGCCCCTGCGTGATTGCATTAGCTAAGTTTGCAAGAGCATCGGGTGCTTCCTTTGGAGACGAGGATATTGGATTTAAAGTAAGGGCTTCTAGATTGTGTAGACACCTCGCAAAAGAGCTCCACTGCTCTGGCCTGTACACATCACGTTGCAAAGGAAACTAGAATCTTAAAGGATCACCCTTCAAATTCTGTGTCTAATGCATAGGTTCGAGACGTAAGACGCGGCAGATGACGAGCCCACCCGGAGCTCTAAAAAATCAACTTCTATAATATCGGATAAAAGGTCAACAGTTTTGTAAATTACGTACACAAAAATCGAGCAAGATGGGAATTTTCAATGTAACGTATGGTTGCATATACGATTATTTTAGAATCCAATATCGAATTATATATTGAGCAAATAATTTACGATTAAGTGATGAACATTGCAGCTACCATCTGTGATATGAGTACGTGCCTGTAGCCACTTTAATCAATACGGCTATCGTCAGAATAGTCAGAAACTCACAAGATCCTTCGAGCAAGGCGAAGCAATGCAGCTGTCCTCTTGTTTTGCATGACCTTGGCGACAAGTTCTAAAGCAAGAAGGCTATTGCTCCTTCTTAGCTGCTCCTTTTCCTCTCTTCTCTTCTCGTCCGTATCATCTTCCATATCGTTGCTACCAGCGTGTGAAATTTGACCATGCATGCCAGAGCCAGGACCCTTCTGTTTCTCATTCCAGGTGGGAGGGCTGCTCCAGTCCTCAAACACTGATTCAGTCAAACGATTTACTAAGGAAAAGAGGAAGTACGCTATGCATGTCCCAAACTCTGTTACAGGTGCCTCTCCCATTTGCGATAGCTGAAGTACATCGTCTACATACTTGACACACCTGTGGATACCATTGAAATAAACTCAGTACTTAATTTCCAGTCTCACATCACCTTGCGACATCAAACTGGACAACGATTGACAACGAAGAGTACTTTCTTAAGGCAGAAACAAACCTTTCGCGGAATGAAGGTGACTTGGTTGCAGCAAGACAAAATATGTAAGTGCTCGACAGCTCCAAGTACGTTTGGAACATTTCTGGCTGCTGCTGACGAATAGGTATCACTCTACACAAGAACAGAAGTTCATGATCAGATAGTCTTTATGTAGTCTACAAATCTTCATGTTGAATATACAGGTTATCTAGAGGTAACTTATCACCTACATTGAGAATTTTCATTATTTCCTTTTTTTAAGAGCAAGAGCAAGTTTTCGGTACGAGCGGTAGGAGCTGTGAAGAAATTTAAAGTGGACGTTCAGGCAATGAAATTAATGTTACCTGCACAAGGCGAACGATGTTAGACGTGAAAGCTTAACACCGTAGAAAGTGTACATGCATACAAAGCGAAAAAATTCGAACTTGTCTCCGAAGTACACACGTTTGAGAGGAAGCAGAAGCAATCCTAGTCGTCCATTAAGTAGTTCAACCAATTTTAGCATCGAAAGAGAAGAAAAATTGTGTTAGGTTCCGAAAAGGTAATCAGAATTGGATTTGCTAGCTAAGACTCCATAGATGCTCAAAAGTACATTTCAACTTTTAGCTGAGTGTAGTTGCGCTAAATTCCGATCAGTTGATAAATGGATGCAAATTTAGCAAAGTAAGAGTACTAACAACTAGCGACGGGGCTATGACAGAAATTACTGGGTGTGCCATTAACGATACGGTTCCAGTTGTACCTTCAGGTTGGGAACAAAACTATTTCTCATAGAAAATGGACATGCAGCCTAAATGACTGCAGTCTAAAGAAGGAATCGATCCCGATATACGTAGTAGTGAGCAAACTCCAAACAGTTTCAGATAAAACTCCATGAAGGACGAGATTCAGAATAAACTAACTTTGAAACTGGAAGAGAAGTCTTAGCAGGCACCACACAGGTAACCAGAGAGGTAGTGCAAGCTTGGTACCCATAGAAATCAAGCTTGCAATACCTTCTATCTACTACGTACCTTTAGAAAGAAGGTACAATTGAAATCGAGAGGGTAGTCAACCTTTAATATTTGTGAGAAAAGCTGCTAAGTTCAGTGAACTTATTTTTCCCTGTACTGTGGGCTTCACTTTAATTACTCAATTTAGGTGACTGTATGACACTTAACAGTGTGTTGCTTAGTGATTGACGATGTTCATTTGCGTCTACTTACACAGAGATTGTACTCATTGTGGTGAAGTGCAATTCCAAATTTGTGAAGACATGAGATAAATTCAGATCAAAATAGTTCAGGAACAAGTCCACAGAAACTAGAAACAGGAAAGGATAAGCGATTGCATGTTGTATGCTTAAATTTTGCTGGCTTCTAGACGACCCGGCGTTGCCTCCAATCTTAAGTATACCCCAATTACTGATAGCTTACAAGAAGTAGGTGTTAATCTGAAATGTGAGAAGAATCAAGGCCAGAAGACAGACCTAGAGGTGAGAAGAGCCAAGGTCAAAAGAGGACACACGAGATTTGCAGACAGTGCATGCTGCAAATACAACCAGGCGAGCCCCCGCGGTTCTGAGGCTAAGCATTGGCTGAGAAGCACGGCTCCCAGCTCTACACTGGGAAACGAAGCTCCAGATGACGAGACATCGACCCCCCACACAAGAGCAGGCTCACGACGAGTCAGTCCAAGCCTCGTTACTTCCTGCATAACACTCAACATCTCCTGCGCTGAAACAGACCCCACCGTGCCGCTGGGCTCTGAGCCCATCAACGCCATTTCCTTAGACGGAGCCATCCCACCAAATTATCGTCAGATTAGAGCACCACCTCCGATTCCATAAACGCGACTCCCCCAGCGTGAACTGACCAAAACAGAGGAGAACAAAGCTCAGTCTCCCGTTTCAATCACTCGCTATTCCTTCAACCCTTCGTTGATTTGGATCGGGCAGAGGCAAATTCATGACCGACAGGCCTCTGCATTTTGGAACACGGACAAGAATAGGCGCTCCAATGCCACGACCCAAATCGACAGACCGCGGCCAGGGGCGAATTCTCGGGCAAATCGGCTTGTTCCAGTCTAACGTTCACCAATTTGACAGATCCCGCGCTGATTTGCCCGTTCACCGGAAGTCGGTCGGTCTTGTCTTACTCATTCCCGGGGCATTTTGACTTCTCGTCGGCTGGCTGCTCGTTTTGTTTTGCGCTTTTCCTATACCGCTGTCTGCTGCGCTATTTGCACGGACGGTTAGACCAGTCCTCCCAGTCATAAGGCTATGAGTCCAAAGAAATGTAACAAAGGCTATTATCAAAGAGTGATGAAAGCTGAAAGGTACATAAACACTTAATTTTTGTGAGTATCAGACCCTTCTGATAAATAGATGGAAAGAATTTTTTGATTATATGTCGGCTAAATGTATCTCCAATATTTATGTAATTAAAAGTTACAGTAATCATCTTTTGGCATATAGTGTATAAATTTTGGATCAAAACTTATAACTAGATTGCATCATAACTATCTCCAGAAACATCTATTTTGATGACAATGTCTTGATTTGACTTCATATTGTTAATAAATGGAATTAAATATTTTATATATTTTTATTTCGCTATACATTTTATTTTTTTCAAATCATAATAATATATTACATTTTAGAATAACATATGTGATATATATATACAATAATTGTTTTTTAAATCTATATTTTTATGCAATTTGAAACTATTGTACCAAATTTGATGTAATTGTATATTTTAATAATCTATAAGAATTCAATAATGATACAAAACAACTTTTTAGTAGGTTCAAAATTGGAAAAAAAAACAAAATAAATTCGAAAAACAAGATGAAATTTATGTAAAAATGGAATATTTTGCGATTGATGTTTTATTTAATTTTTATAATTAATTTAAATAATATTTATAATTTAAAATAAATATTTTATTTCACATAAAAATGTATTTCAAATACTCAAATTTCAAAAATATTATCTGTAATTTTATACTTGAATGAAAATACAATGATCATAACAATGATATGATAAAACAATTTAATACACAATCCATCATTATAATCTATTAGTATCTATATTTTGAAATGATTTTTGATAATTTTAGAATATTTTATAAAATTATATGTAAGCAATATTTTAAAATAAATGAAAAGATATGACATGTATCTTTAGGTTATTTTGATGAATCATTTGAAATGAAATAAAAATTAAGAATAAATTATTAAGAAAATAAGGGCCTAGAAAATTATAAATATTTTATTCATGAAAATGATAATTACTTTTATATAAGAAAATGCTTTATAATAAAAAATGTGATTAAATTTATATTCAATCTTGATCATGTGCATTGATTTTACCAACAGTATTTGGAATCACATTATATGAAGATGAAGATGAATTTAAGTCAATCTTACTTATAATTAAAATCATGGAATTTATTCAAATCAAAATTATTCAAAATTTTAATTTTATATATCCAATATAGCGAAAATTGAAAATCAGTTCTTTTATTTCTCATTTGCTTTTTTTTCTCTCAAGAGCATATGATTATCAATGAATTGATCATCCTGACTTGAGTTTGTGCTATGAATTTAAATGTCGTATATAAAAACTCATTAAGAAAATAAATGTTTTATCTTTTTTAGTAGATATAGATAAGCAATATACTTGTAACATGTGAAGCAATCTTTGGTCAAAATCTTATAATAAAGAAAATGTATATATTTAAATATATTTTTTTTATTTTTGAGAATAAATTTTTTATTTTAATGTTTGTTTCACGTTCAAAAATCAAACGTAGTGTAAATTTCAACTCCAATGAAATTAAAATTGGAATTTGTAATTTGACTAGTTAATGTGATCATTTTCAGTTTTCAAGGTATCATAAATTGTGAAATATATAAACTTTGCTTGAAAAATTATTTGGTTCACTTTACTTTATCCAGCCCCTGATTATTATATTTTTAAACGGATTTTTCTACAAAAGTTCGAACAAATTTGTTAAGTGCTGAAATTCATGTTGGATTTGAAACTCGCAAAGTTACTGCAAGTTAGTTTCCTACCACCACTGGTGGTAGGAAACTAACTTGCAGTAACTTTGTAACTAACCAACACCGAAGGTGGTGGTCCACCACCTTCTTCGCATTTTCCTTGAATTATATCTAAAATCTCGGCCCGCTTAATGGATTGTATACCATAGCAACGAATAGGAATCAATCCTATCCATTTGTGATCAAATTCCATTGCTCAGACACCAAGTCGAGGATAGAAAGAGATTTGTTTACATTGAAACAATCCACCTGACTAATGAAGCAATCAATGTTCAAGCATGTGCTCAATAAATAGGAAGAGTAATGAAAGATGAAGAAGAAGTATATGAATCTGATCTACATTATGTTTCTTCCTAAAATGTATTCTAAACGAAGAAGATATCAGTCTTCTTAAAAGGTGCATCATTTGCTGATTTATTTAATCACTGTGCCAAAATAATCACATTGGAATCAGAAGATGATTCTACATTCTTGTTTGAACTCTAATCACTGAGCCAAAATTTGGCGAGACTCTGGATTTTTCGTGCATCTCGCCCAGGGTAGCGTTGTCAACCTCTCTCGGACTGACCTGGGCACCTCAAAACGCAATTTTACTCGTGGGATGGAAAAATTTCCATCCCTCGAAAGCTCACATACTTCACCTGCCAAACCATCCGGCGCAGAAGGCACGTTTGAGTCGAAACTCCGAGGCCTCGAGAACTACTGCATGTTTTTGGACGATGGACTGCCGTAGCTCGCAGAGCGTGGTCCTCATTTTTGGTTGGTGAAATGGAAGTGAATCGCAGGCTTCAGCAGGAAGACATTAGTCTACGAAAGGTTTCCTCTACTATATATAGAAGCAGGATCAAACAATTCTGCTGTCGTTGTAGCGGGATGCCACATTGTGGACTCAGTTGTTGAAGGACTGCTGACGAGGACACGAAATGTGCCATGTGTCATCTGACCTGGTGAGGTGAAAGAGCGAGACATTCGGATCTGTAGGAAGGCCTGCGGTGAACAATGTCAAGGAGCGAAGGAGCAATACAATCCGTGCTCCTCGAACCAGTCTTGCCGAAGAATCAGAAGGTGTTCTGGGCATGAGACGGTGCTCTCGAGGAGGAAAATCTCGATGAACGTTGTAAATTTGAACTGAATTTGATGTTTTCAAACCCTTCCACGTCACTTGGTTCAGGGGTTTTCCACCGCTGCACCCTCCCCACCGTGGAGTTTTCAGAATCTTGAATGCTACACTCCAATTTCCGCTCTTTCCTTCTCTTCAGTCCAGATTACTGCTCCTTTTCTGCAGCCCTACTCCTGCCCTACGCACCCGATAGCATGAAATGAAAGCATGTGAACTTATCTGAATATTGATTTCCGATTTGATTGGAAGCTCTCACATGTTTGTAACTGAATTTAACAGGAGTATGTAAAATTCATGTTGGTGGTAATAATCTCTCTTTTGCCGTCTGTTTTGTGTTCTGTTGTATTCCTGGTAGAGGGTTAGGACCAAGATAATTCCATAGTTGACGATTCAGGTTGATTATGGAGGTAAGTTGGCAAGACGATCCTAATGTTATCGACTACGATGACGACTCAGCTCCATCCGTTGGGCCAAATAAAGCGAAGCTCACAGATATCCCAGAAGATGTACGAGATCGAAGAAATCATCCTGCCCTCGAAAGAGCACAGGCTGCTCTCAAAGAGCAGCTGTCTGCCAAGAAACAGGATTTGGAGGACAGAATATATGAACAGGGAGCTTTTCTTAGGAGAGCTACCAAGAGGAGGGAAGAAGCAGGTGTGGCGTTGTATGGCATGCAAAAGGCTCTGGCCACGCTTCACATGTCTCTTCACAAAGACGCTGAGGATCTTGCGAATGCTGCAGAAGCTCATGCTAAGGTTGTTTTGCCGTGATTATGAAGAAATTCTCAATACCAGAGCCAGACTGTCTTAGAGAGCTTGCTGGCCAAAATTGTAACATGTCTGAACTCAAGTATCAAGGCCGAGATTACTTTGATGCAAGTCTCTGGGAAATTAGAGATACGTTCTCATGAGGGGGTGATGGTGCATGGTGGGGTCAGGCGAAAGACGAGCTACAGAAGACGACGCTCGTACACAGAGATAAAACTGGAGAACTGAAAAAGTTGAGGGACAAAATGGAAATTACTCACCAGGAACTAGACAATCTTCTGAACAATTTGAAACAAGTTGAGAAGTACAGCCAGGAAATAAAGAGTGAGATAGCGATAAATAGGCGGAAGACTTACGCCGCTGAGGAGTCCATGTCGGCAGCAGAGAAGCATAAGAAAGATCAAGACTTACAAATCGGGCTTATGCAGACACGCTTGAAACATCAGTATGAGAAGCAAGCTTTGCTGAGAGCCCAACTCCAAGGTCTCTCATTTGATTTCGTTTTAACCTACATCTCCTTTGTGTATCTTCTGAAAATCTGGACATTTCACGTTTGCTTGACAGCATCAAAGTTTAATCCGAAGAATTGAATAGACAGAAACGAGTTGAACGTCTTGGCTGTATATTTTAGTAAAACCTCAGCTGGATTTGATCGTGAAAGGTCACTTTTGCTTCCACTGGACTACCAGAGTACTTGTTAAAGCCCCATCTTCTCCATCTGACCCCTGTATTTTCTTTGGAAGTATTTCTTTCATGCTTTAGAAACCGATCATGGCGTTCTCTCATCTATACCTGGTTTTGAGGCAAAACAGTAGGCTCTTAAATTTATAGGTTCTTATTGTGGTTATGTAACAGTCCAGGAAAGAGAGACCAAGCTCGCCAATGTAGCCCTTTCTGAAGCTGGAACAGAGATGGAAAGTATCACTGCAGAGAAAAAGCAAGTGGCAATCCAATGGCAGTCATCTCTTCTCGTGCTATCCCGTTGCGACGAGGCTCTCCAGGTAGAAGAAGAGTTCGAGATGTTTTTTATATCATTCTGTCTTCACATATGTTGATGGCTTACAGTGAGCGAAAATTTAATCCTTTCTGGAGTGTAACTTTGATAAGTTGATTCTCAAAAGCACATAGGTCATTTCTCAAATTGTCTAAGTTTTAATTGCTGAAGAATGTGGAAAAGTGAAAATTGATAATAAACTCCAGATATTTCCTTTTCATGCTTTATTACGAGTATATTGTCGTGATAATATTTCCACCTTTTAAATTATGCCAACAAAAATGGCAGATATTACCAACGATAACAATACTTGATCCCTTATACAATGTGACTCAAACGTAAGGTGAGTCACACTGCAAGTCTTCAAGGTCTTAAACTCATCTCCCATGTTAATTGTTCACACTTCGGGTAATAACATTCAAAATTATTAGATACAAAACTAGAGATTTTAGACTTGGAATCTCACCGGTAAGTAGCACGCGTAGGCTTTTCTTGACATTCTGTACTCATTGTCATACTACGGATCGTCTGAACGTGTTTGCACGATAATATGATAATATGTGAAACAAGCAAGAACCGTTTCTAAGTCGTATGTCCAGTGTCTTTTAGAAAGAAATGGAAATGGAAATATAAGTTTCTAGACGCTAACCACTGGGTTCATGGACAAGCGTGTAAGACATCAGGCATATGCGCTTGACGTTGATGATGTCAAATCAGTACCAGAACTTCAAATGTGGTGTGCAGTGATTTGTTTCCCTCTCTGTCGGGTTTGTTCAGTAAAGAGTCAACAAGCATTCCTCCCGTCGCATCTTTTAATATCTTTTGAAGAAGACTATTCCGGCTGGCTGAATATCAACGTCCCTTTCTTCAGGGTCTTATCGATGCCATAGCAAACCAGAAGGAACAGGAGAAATCAGTAGAAGTAGAGAAGGAATCGTACAAAAAAGCTATCCGCAAGGAGCAGGAAGCCGCAGAGAAACAACAAGCAATATTGAGGAAGATTGACAGAGAGATGAAAGCAGTCCAAAAACAGATGCAGGCTGCTATCGCCAAGCGATTGGCATATTATGAGCAGTACCGGAAACTTGTTGTCTCACTTGAGCAGATCGAAGCAGCTGTGAAGAAGCTCAAAGTGGAAAGGACTCATTTGGAAACAGTGATAAAGGTGACAAACTTCAAATCCTAATTTCTATGAGGACTTATTGTCACGTACTTCCCCGCAGATTTCAGACGTTCCAAAACTAACAAACACTACTCTATCTGTGAGGAGCTATTTCGTTGCACATGGGTGTTATAAGTCACGTTCTTTTCGCATTTTCACAATACATATCTTCCCCATGGTCGGTGATCGGATGCGGAGGCTGTGCTGATTGCCTTTAGGAAGGACCGTTTGCACTCGTCTTCCTTGTTGTTCTCTTCTTTTCCAGGCACTTATAGACTTTCTTTCAAGGTGGAAACACACCGACAAAGTTTCAAAGCCCTTGATGTGACAGGTCTGCCCCAGGCTGGGGTCCACAGACAGATCATTTGCAGTTTCTGTGAGTGAGTGTTTGTATGTGAGAGGTAACAAAGCTATTTACTTTTTATGCAGGTGCATGAAAGAGAATTTACGAGGCAAAGTGAAGGAACGCATGAACTTGAACATAAGATTTTGGAGAATCTGGTAGAGCACATATCTCTCGAAAAGAAAGCAGCTCATAACACTATGCACTCAATAGCCAAACTTCGTGGTTTGGCGAAAAAGGAAGATATGATAGCAACAGAGATACAGTTCGACTTAGCAAGAATAAGGGTAGATGTACTTTCCGTGCATGCATACAACGAAAATATCAAGCAGGCCATGAACGCCGTCAATAACGAAGTGGAGGAGAAACTTAGCCACATTGGCAAAGTGCAGACAGAGATAAGAAAGAGACATGCAGAAATAGAAATGAAAACCAAGGAGATCGACAGACTTAACAAGACTTACTTCAAATTGACGGCCAACATGCAAGCTGGCGATCAAACTCCATGGGAGCACATAATCTCCAACATGAAGTACGAGATTCTAAAAATTACAAGATCGTCAAGCGAAAAGCAGAAGCGGTGGTTGCTGATGCAAACAGCCCTTATTAACATTGTCACGACTACTAATGATCTCACGGAGAGCTATCAAAAAAAAGCAGTCGAGAGAATTACTCTAAGTCAGCGCAAAGTGAGGGTTGATACCCAAAGTGAGGCAATTAAGAAGTTTACCAAGGAGCTGGAAAAGAGAGTGGCAACAAAACAGGGTGTTATTCTGAGGTATAATTTCCTACTGTACAACAGCAGGCACATCCAAGTACGTACGATATGCCCTAAATCAGTGCAAAGGTTAGGATTGATGAGGTAGGATTATATTGTTCATGATGTCGTTAGTGCTGGCAATCAGAATCACAGTATAGGGCCATGAGCTAGAGCATGCTTTATGTTTGGTCGCATGGAGTTCTTCAAGTTGGTCTCATAGCATATGAAAAGTAGTTGTTGGCGATCATTTAGTGTTATGTGATAATAATGTAGGCTGAACGATATGGTAGCGAAAAATTCGACCCTAGAGGAGCTACTCAAAAATGAAAATGCCAACATGCAAGCTGCCAACTATGCACACCTGAAAGACCTGGGTCGTGATCTCGTGGCTCTAGAAGAGAAGATTAGGGAGATGACAGCAGAAAAATCATATGCTAACAAGCACTTGGATGAGTTAGAGCATCATGCAATGCTTTGGAAGTATAAAATTACCTTCGAGCTTAAAACCCAGGTGGGTCATGTCGCGTTTCACCTATATCTACTTATTCTTCGCATTCGGCTCTTCGAGACAATTTTGTGCACTTCAATGCACAGCATTGCAACAGTATGATTAAGAGAGTAGGTTTTGCACACACAAAAGTTGACACATTAGTCTCAAAAGCGCTCAGCGTCAGCTATATGCTAGATTTTGACAAGAGTCAGAGTAGCCTTCTTTTAGTGAACGTACATTTCTGTTGAATTTCAAAGAGAAGAGTGACACATAATATGATCATAAGCGTTTTACACCGATCAGCGCTTCCTTTCGAGCTTGGTGATATTTTATGGCCTATTATAACATTAGCATAAGCTTTTTACACTAATGAGCAAGGAGAGTCGAGGCAAATCTGCTAAGCTTTAACTGATCTTCGTATTAGAACAAAACATATGACGTTTTGTGATTCCGATGTTCATAATGTTTTTTTCTCACTTTGACAATCTGCAAGTCTTCCTGAGCTTCGCGATGTGTAAGCCTGTGCTGTGTTCCTCCGTCCGGGACTCATGAACTCAGATCCTTCACTCGATGTCACATGTGAAGATCTCATGGTGAATGTTTCTCTACAGGCACAAATTGATCCAAACGTGGGTCGAGCAGTGATAACTGCACTGCAGAAGCAATGTGACAGGCTGAGGCTGACACATGATGGATTGGCCTTGGTTCGGGAAAAATTGATATCAGGACTAGAAAATAGAGTTGCGAACCGATCGGTAATCGACACAAAAGTTAAGGTAAATCTGCCAATTTTGTTAGGAGAATCTTATTTGCTGACTTTGCTGGATTAAACTATTTCTCCATGATGAAGCAAGCGTTCTGATGTAAGTTTGGATCATGGATCTTACTTATTGTTTCCTTTGCCACTAATCTGCTTAATACCATTTCTTGTAAGTTGACATTACTTCTCATCAACAATATTTGAATTGGGAAAAGCAGTCCTTGCTCTACCTCTGGTCAGCATTGATGGAAATTGACAAGTCACACTATTATTGCAGTTTCAAGATCATTCACCTGAAGTCAACACTGCCACAGACTCTCAAGCTTGAAGTTTGTCATGATAGAACCTGTGGCTCATAAAATAGAGAGTTGAAATGTTTTTTCTTGCAGTGGACCGTCCGAGTAACATGTCTTTAGCTGAAGTGGTGAATTTCTTCATGTCCAAATGAACAGCTAGAAGGTGGTGAGTGTGTGAGCTTTCTTGAATTTGATATCATTGCACCTACCTTCGCAGGCCATGAGCCAAAGAAAGGGATTCGATGGTCCAGCCAGTATCGAGGCAAATCTTATCAAAGGTTGTGCAGATTTTAGGAGAGCTACCAAGGAGACCGATAAAGCCAGTGAACGCATTGATGGCCAGCTAGACGCTTTAGATGAGAGGAGGAATAAAGTCAAAGCTGAAGCTGAACATTTAGCTTTTAAGATACAAACCTTTGTAAAGCAGCAAGAGGAGCTCAGGTAACCAACATCTTCTTCAATATACATTGTTTGAAAAAATGAAAGGAGCAATCCCAAATCTTGGTGCTTATTTGCCTTTTGACGCCGATTGCAGGATGAGTTTGAGGTATGAATGTAATCAGAAGACGCTAGAACTGCTGGCAACAGCCTTGCAGCACCGCAGGTGCAGGAGGTACGAAGAACTTCGTAACAACAAGTGGAGTGTACATATCAAGAGTACAGTTGAAGATGAGCTTGCAGAGACAAACACGAAATGTTGTCTCCTCGTTAAGGTTGTTCAAATCTTAATGCCAGAGCTTCCAAATTTGCAGTATAAGTTGGACACGCTCGCATTACAGTTATCGCTGGCGACTGGGGATGTGACGCATCCATCATGATCAATGATATAGAGGACATAGCCGACACCAGTACCCAAGCATGTAAGCTGATCAGAATCAGTTCAATATTTCTTTTCCTTGAAAGGAATAAAGCTGTTACGAGTAGGAAAATCAATCCGACCTCTCATGGGAACGAGCTTTGGCTTTACTCGCATTCCGGACCTCGATCACGTTTCAAAAACCGTCAAAAGTGAAACTTGCGCCACTCATGATAACAGAAACAGAGACTTACCAGAGAAGAAGCGGGATCTATTCAGCGTGTATAGGACCAATCAGTAGCGAGGTGCCAGAGGAGCTCTGGAGGATGCTCAAATATTATGAGTTCGTTGTTGACTTTCATGGACAGAATCTTGCCACCATCGTCCATGTTTTAACCGTGTGAACCACTGCAGTCTGTATCATGTCTTCATAGGAGTGTGCCGTTCACGCTCCATGAGTGTTCACAGGCGAGTCGCTCATCTCAGGATGAGAGTTCTAGCTTTTTAGATAGAGGGAGAAAGAGATTATGGACAGATTATATCGATTATTTGTCCAGCTTAGACTGTGAGGAAGTTCTCTCTCCGAGCTGCCATACCACTCTTCAAATCCCCCTCATTGCCAAACTCTACTCCCCGGAGGTTGGTTCTTTTGCTAAGAGAATCAAAGTGAATGGTTGGCAATATTTTAGAGTTTTCAATCAATCACAGTAAATTTAATCACAAATTAAAAACTAATTTCTTTTCGGTATGGGCGCGAACGCTCGACGACAATTGACGAGTCGCTTTGTGGAACAAGAGACTGATTCGTTTCGAGCCAAACTGGATTTGGCGAATGAACAAGCGGAGAAATATAGGCGAATAAAAGAGGAGAACGAGTTCATGAAATTGTTTTTGGAACTGCGCACATTCGTTTGAGGTTTCGATCACGCAGAACACGTTCCTTCGCGCACTGGAAGGTGGAGGCGATCTGCAGTCCCAACCACTGGATAGGAGCGATCGATACAGGGAGCATATCCACTTGGATTGTTGAGGGGAGGGGAGGGGATGAAGGTCGGCGGTAACTTCTAACGGTAAGAGGGGCAGAGGGGGCAGAGGAGCAGAGCTGAGGAGGATATTTGTGCCATGGAAGCATCAAATATCTGGATCATTGTCAGAATCATGGAGGCGGAAGCAGCAAAAAAGGAAAAAGTTGACCGCGGCTGCAGCTGGGGACAAAAAAAGCGGAGGATCTCAGATCGTCCCGATAGAGATTCAAAAGATACCTGCGGGGGATCGAGGGCGGGGGATCCATGCCGATCGGCGTGATTTGGTGACACGGCGACGAGGAATTGATATTTTGCAGGCCCCCCCCCCGGGGGAATTTACCGGCAGGTGAAACGGAGGATAAGTGCGGTAAAGGGCAAGGGGCAGATATTTGTCGGAGCCAATGGGAAGGCGGCCGAGGCGGAAAGTGCTAGTACGCTCGGCCGAGATGGCATGCCACTGTGGCAGATGCAACGGAACGTTGCGGCCGGGGCTTGGAAAAGCGCAGCGGAATGTGGGCCTGTGACGGGGCGAGGGGTTCGTAGCGACGCCGCAAGCGGAGGCCCAAGAGCGTTATCGGAGATTTTTCGCCCGTGTTTGGCCCCCCCTCATGGATGGATGGACGGACGGACCCTCTGCCCCCCGCCCCCCCCCCCCTAGCCAAAACGGTCCGTGCAAGTGGAGCGCGGCTGCGAGGCATGGCGGATGGCGGATGGAGGATGGAGGGAGAGAATGCTTACGATCTGATTGCGATAGACGCAACGCGATACAGTAGTAGTGTATGTAGATAGGGGCCCACAACCGATCGATCGGGGGCGGGCGGGCGAGCGATCGATCATCGATTGATTGCGCAGCAGGCCTTTCGCAATTCCCAGAATCGCTCGTCCTGCAGACTTGAGCGCCGGAATGCGCATGTGAGTGAGCGCGAGGAAGACGGTCTTCCTCCCGAGACGGTCCCTTCGAGGAGGCCTGGCCTGCATCGCTCGCCTCTGGAGAAGGAGGGCTCGAGGAAGAGGGAGGGATTCTGATCTCCGAAATCGACCGATTCTTGCGAGATGGCAGCTGTAGGCGCGCACCAGCCCGGCGTGTGCTCCACCACTCCGATCACCGCAGTCGGCAGCGCTCGCCCGCACAAGAGGAATGTCGCTTACAAAAGCAATGGGTTCGGGCGATCGCTGTCTGATTTGAGGCGTAGCTCTTTGTGTCTGGCCATCTGCGGCAACCCGACCATCCAGTGCGTCGCTAGTGAACCGAGGCCGAAGAAAGCCGAGGCTGAGAAAGGTTAGTTGCCCTTCGATGCTCTCAGACTTTCTGTGAAAATGCACGGGCGCCGCACGCTGAACGAATTTTGAATGGGCTCCTGCAGTCTTCTCGTGTTCAGGCCTCCCGTCAATGTGTGGCAAATGTGGGACGCTCTCTTGTTAGGCACGCTGTGGAATCCCCTGTTCCAACTTCTGGGAAACCCATTACTGCTGAAACCCATTGCGGAAACCCATTATTGCTGCTGCTTCTTTCGGGAAATATTTTGGTCTGTAAATGCGTCTGCCCACGTTTCCAGAGATCCAACTGCCGACGTCTATGGTCAATGTGCGATGGATTGCGCGAGTTTAGCTGACCCGTCCCTTTCTTGTGGATTTTATGTTTGAGAAAATGGTATATTCAGGCGCATCTCTCGGCCATCATCTCCCTTTGGACAATTATGCACTACTGTAGTGATTCCGTAAACAGCTCGTCATGTTTTCCCTGTTGACTCTCGGACAATCACATGCTCCGACACGAAGTCCGTGGATTGGTTGGAAATTGGTGGTTCGCTTTCTATGTCTTGGATTTTGAAGCGTCCCTGCTCTAAACTTACGCTCTCGTCAGTCTGATCGAGGAGGCGATGGGTCGCCTGATGCGTCTCCACGTCGCCCAGCGGCGCTGACATGTTTTTTGGGGTTCAATGTTCCAGCGATAAAGCCCATTGCGAATCCCGCGGCGGATGATGCATCTTCTGTGGCGTCCAATATCAAGTACCATGCCGAGTACACTCCAACATTCTCACCTCTCAAGTTCGACATTCAGAAAGCGTATGCGGCGACCGCCGAGAGTGTCCGGGATAATCTGGTTCTTCGATGGAACGAGACGTATAAACATCTGCATAAGACCAACCCGAAGCACATCCACTATCTTTCTATGGAGTTTCTGCAGGTGTTTGCCCACTCCCTGCCATGCCTCTTGAACGATTGTTACTTGACGAAACGACTACTTTGGGGCATCCTTCAGTTTCCTGTAAATTTGAGTAAGGGTTTGTGCCATTTCAGTCAGGCGAATGCTTCGAATACTCAACCAGTATACAGAATCTAGAGCTGAACTTGATGTGTACGTCTTTCTGTTTAGGGACGGGCTTTGTCGAATGCCGTTGGGAACCTCGAAATGAGAGATGCATACGGTGCGGCTCTACGGAAGTTTGGCTATGAAATGGAGGACGTTTATGAGCAGGTTAGTTCGAGAGGTCATTGTCCAATGTGCATGATCTTACGCTGTCTCATGGGAAGATGCTCGCTTTCCAATTCAGACGACTGTTGGTGGAATTGACTTCTCAATGTATTCTATAGACTTACTCAGAGGTTGGAGTGCACTTTGAACTTTGTCGGACGGAAAACTACTTGTCGACTGGAGACGCCGCGTATGTTGGATCCAGCATGTCGAGTGTTTCCCACGTAGATTATGGACCTAGTTTTTCCTCCTGTGTGAGGCCTGGTGTAAGGTACAGGCAGTCTGAAATTCGTTGGGTACCTAAACCCTTTAAGCTAACAACTTTGTCTGGTGCAGGAGCCGGATGCCGCACTTGGGAACGGAGGTCTTGGTAGACTTGCTTCTTGCTTTCTAGACTCATTGGCAACTCTGAACTATCCGGCTTGGGGTTACGGCCTTCGCTACAAGTATGGTCTATTCCACCAGAAAATTACTAAGGAAGGTCAAGAAGAGGTTGCCGAGAAGTGGCTCGAGGTAAAACGCCTCACCTTCGCCACTAAATCCTCACGCCTGCTTTTTTTGCTCAAGCTTCACTGTACTAATTTTGTCTTAGCTGTTACTGCGGGAAGAGGATGTTCGCAAGTTTCGTCCAGGAATTTCATTTCTTTCATGCCCGTTTCTGGAAAGATTCTGCAAATATGTCAGAAGCGCGTCTGTACTTAAACTATGGTCGTTCGTTATTCTACTGGAAAGATCCTGCGAACGTGTTAGAACCGCGTCTGTACTCAAAGCATGGTAGCTCATTTTTCTACTGTCTTTATAACAAATATGTGCAATTTCTCACCTCTCGGTTCATTACATCTCGCAGCTTGGGCATCCATGGGAGATAATCAGGAATGACATCGTCTATCCCATCAGGTTTGGTGGAAAGGTTGTGGAAGGTTATGATGGGAAGAAGCAATGGGTAGGTGGAGAAAATATTATTGCTGTAGCATACGATGTACCAATTCCAGGGTATGCAACGAAGAACACCATCAGTTTAAGGTTATGGCAAACTAAGGTACACGCTGAAGAATTTAACCTCGATGCGTTCAACAACGGCGAACACGATCGTGCTGCAAGTGCTCACGCCAGCGCAGAGAAGGTGAAGCTCTTTTATTGCTCCTTGGGAGCCGTACTCTGTCTATGATCTTGATCGAACTTTCTTGTGGTTTGCAGTCTAGCTGTGTGAAATGTGTATAAGAACCTATTTTATCCAATTTTTGTGAGTCATTACATCAGTCATATACGCTGAAGGAATCTAGCATATAGATTCCATGTGGCGACTATCTGGTATTGTGGAAAGGTCCATTTTCGCTCTCAAGTTCCGACCGACGTCTTTGCTAGAAATGCAGACGTAGGGAATACAATGGCCTGGACCTTCCTCTTGAAGGTTTCAGCTCTAGCGTTTTTTCCCTATTCGCCGAAGGCAAATACGCCCGGGAGCAGGTGGCACCCACCTGTCTAGATGTCGTCTCGATGCTCACCATTTACTGTTGTCGAAAGTTATTAGGTTTTTATAGGCATTCTCAGGTTGTAGTAGCAGCTAATGAAGAGCGTATATTGTGCACGTAGTGTTCGAAGAAATACTGCTCCCTGCGAACAGTCCATAGTTATTTCTAGCTTTTGATAGCAGAATGTTTCCTGCCTTACCATGTCTCCTCCTTGTTTTGCTAATTCACACGGGTATGCCTTGCAATCTTGAATATTTTCGGTTTGCTGGTTTTGTTTTCTCTGCGTTCCTGCAGTCGTCACTCCCCAATGACTATTGTGTCAGTTTCCAATCTTCTGCCTGTACTGTCAACACAATTTTGTATTAAATCTAATATATTGCTTCTTTGGATTTGCACGCACAGATATGCTATGTATTGTACCCTGGAGACGCAAGCGTCGAAGGGAAGATACTGAGGTTAAAGCAACAGTACACTCTGTGTTCTGCCTCTGTCCAAGATATTATCGCCCGCTTCAAGGAGCGTTCTGAGCTCACGGGTAGCCGAGTCAACTGGGACTTCTTCCCGTCCAAAGTGGCCATTCAAATGAATGACACTCACCCAACTCTTTCTGCTCCAGAATTGATGCGCATTCTGATCGACGTGGAGGGTCTTACGTGGGATCAGGCCTGGCACATCACACAAGCGTAAGTCCACTAACCTCTCTCTTCTCACAGTTTAGTTGATTTCGTTCTTTGCTTGAAGTTGTAGATCGCGAGGATTGCCTTGATAGTTCCTCATCTGAACTCAGCCATTTTTTCATGTAAAACCTGCTGTGAATATTTCCATAAAATTTACAGTTAAGGCGTGAACTGTGTTCTTCATGTCTTCCTTCCTTAGGATATTTCTTAGGCATTCTGTCAAAAGCTGAATTGTAGTCCTCCTCTCCTCGACATGACAGCTCTGTGGCTTACACAAACCATACGGTTCTTCCGGAAGCACTGGAAAAGTGGCCACTCGATATCTTCCAGAAGCTTCTCCCTCGCCATTTCGAGATTATTGAGAAGATCGACAACCAGGTGTGTGCTAAAGCGAACTTAGTTGATTAAGCATGCTCACAGGGTTCATGTTGAAAAAGCCTCTTTTTGTTTCTGCCCTATCTTACATGAATACAGATGTCGAAGAACCATGAAGAGGTTATTTGCAATGTACATCATTTTCCGTCCCGTTCTAGTCGTCTTTTATAAGTGTGATGCACATATTCAAGACGAGATACTCTTGTAGCCTCTGTTTGAAATATACATACAATCACATTTCCTTCATTACGTCGTCCTCAGTTACAACTTGCAATGAATGTGTAGTGAAATCACTCTTGCTCTGAAAAGCTATCAAGGTTCACAGAAGCTTCGAAACTTTTCTTAAGCCTGGTCAATAATATCAAACTGCTCCGTTTTCTAGCGAACGTCCTCAGTCTCAGAAGAGGAATACAACATCGTGTGAATCCAAACCCTAACCTGATCTCCCTCCCAACCTAGGAAATTTTCCGCAGGTCAAACATGGATCTTGTACTTATATTGGAACTTTGAATTTTTGGAAAAGAAATAGTGATTAAAAGCAGCTACCTGAGAGTTTGACATCAAGTTTCGTCCATGCAGTTCATGAAGCTTCTTTTGACCAGCAAGAAGTTCGAGCCATCAGAGATGATAGACAAAATTCACCATATGAGAATCCTGCACAATAGTGACGTATCAAAAGAGCTCAAGGCTCTTATGCCAGCAGCTTTTGCAGCCGTTAAGCCACCAGTTGCCACCAAGGCTGCAGCTGAGGAGGAAGTCGATGAGGCCGCAGAGAAGCATGATGCGTCACAACCCCAAACTGTTCGAATGGCTAATCTTTGTGTTATTGCTGGACATACCGTGAATGGTGTAGCTGCAATCCACAGTGAGATCGTGAAGGACGACGTTTTCAATGACTTTTACAGGGTATGGAGAACTGCAACTCCGTCGTTTGCAAAGCTCGCACTGTCTTGTTATCATGGAGGATTACTTCTCGACATTATTTGTTTGCATCAACAGCGATGCAGCCTACCGAGCGTTGCTGAGGCTTTGCGCAGTGAATACTAATCATTGTTTTTTTCCATCGCTCAGCTTTGGCCAAACAAGTTCCAGAACAAGACAAATGGGGTGACCCCTAGGAGATGGTTACGCTTTTGTAATCCAGATCTCAGTGCTGTGATTACCAAGTGGTTGGGATCAGAGGAGTGGGTGCTCGACACAGAGCAACTTGCAGGTTTGCGAAAGGTACACTCTCTGACTCTTGTGATCAGATTACATAAATACATGTAATTCTCTTCGTGACTTTGGTTAACTCCTTCCTGGATGCAGTCTTCGTCACGATATCCTAAAGTGAGGAGAAAATTGTTACATACTGTCATGTTGTTATAAAAATATTCCTTCGCGCCAAACTGAGAATGGCAAAGTTGACATCGATTCAAGGTTATAAGAAAGTTACTCGTTGAAGTGTGAGTATGTACCCGGACACATACAGAGATGTCTTCATGTTGGACGAAACCAACACACTCTTCTCATCTGAAGGTTAGGTTGACTTTCTTTTTCAACGGTAACTAGACACTAGAGACCATACAGTGGCCCGAAGACCTGCTATGCCAAAACCTTGTGTTAAATTCTATGCCCGTCAAATTGCAGTATGCCGACGACAAGGATCTTCATCGAGAATGGTTTCAAGCGAAGAGGAGCTGTAAGATCAAGCTGGCAGCCTACATCAAGGAGAAAACGGGATACAGCATTAGCCCCGATGCGTTGTACGACATACAGGTGAGTCTTTGTACGTCGGACAAATGTGGATAACTTCATATGCTTCCTGTGCAAGGACATGGTTCCGATGCTAAAAAGACCGGTGTGTGAGAATGCATCCTGTACCGCCAACGGCGACGGCTAGCTGTTGAACCTCTGTTTTGGTGGTGTACGCATTCGAAGCTTGCTGTATTTTCTAGAGGACCATCTCTTGTGGCCGTTGTGGTAAGGGCATTCTAAATTTTGGTTGAAATTGAATGCAGGTCAAGCGCATACACGAGTACAAGCGTCAGCTTCTGAACATCATGGGGGTCATTCACCGGTATAAAAAGATGAAAGAAATGAGCCCTAAAGAAAGGAAGGCCAAGTATGTGCCGCGTGTTGTGATGTTTGGTGGCAAGGCGTTTGCCACTTACTGGCAAGCAAAGCGAATCGTCAAGCTAATCACTGACGTAGCCGCGACTGTCAACCACGATCCAGAGATAGGTGATATGCTGAAGGTGGGTTCTCTAGAACTTAAGCTGGTGCACTCGATCCACTATCTAAACTTCTAGGGCTGTTCTTAAGTATGGTCCAAGTTTGCCAACAGTATTCTCTATATTCCTTCGAAGAATTTATCTTGCTTAGGCAATTTCGGACTTCACTGCTCTCTCCCATGAGTAGAGTAGCTTAGAAGAACAGCTACAGTCTCTTTTTATTCTGTCAAATGTTACGAGATGTGGACATCCCAGTTTGTATACATCGTCATCCGGTCTTGTGTTTCGTGGCAAATCTTTTACAGGTCATCTTCGTACCTGATTACAACGTGAGTGTGGCTGAGGTCCTTATTCCAGCCAGTGAACTGTCTCAGCATATCAGGTACAAAATGTTCACTCATTTACATCATGTGATTATGAGACAAGTTGACTCAGACACAATGAAATAGAATGAACATCTCACGAAGACGTGCATACATCGATCACACATATATTTAACTGTTAAAAGTGGACTGGATAATGTAACGAACATGTCATCAGAGACAAACTCATCCATCCATGCTGTCTTTAACGTTCACGTGTCAACCGAATCAATACTTTTCAAAATGGGTGGAGTGTCAGGGCTGTACTTGTTTCTACTAAGATGAAGCATGCAGGTAGAAAACCGACGCAAGAGCACTTTCTGTGCATGCTTTTGATCCCCGTGGACATGACATTGATGTCGTTCATTCTCAAACTGTGTGCAGTACTGCGGGTATGGAAGCCAGTGGAACGAGCAACATGAAATTCTGTATGAACGGATGTGTTTTGATCGGAACACTAGACGGTGCCAACGTGGAAATCCGAGAGGAGGTTGGAGAAGAAAATTTCTTTTTGTTCGGTGCACGTGCCGATCAAATCAACGCCCTGAGGCAAGAGAGGGCGGATGGAAAGGTAGTTCGGCCTCCTCTAAGTAATTTGGTGATTGTCGTGATTAGTTTCCTGTGATCCATCACTGGGAACAACATTCTGTTTTTGTTTCTCAAGATAGCCTGCTGTGTTGTGCAGTTCGAAGCTGATCCGCAATTCGAGGCCGTGAAGAAGTTCATCAAGAGTGGGGTGTTTGGAACCTATGACTTCCAACCCTTGCTGAGCTCCTTGGAGGGGAACGAAGGCTTTGGTCGAGGAGATTATTTTCTGGTTGGAAAGGACTTTCCATCGTATATCAAGGCTCAAGACAAGGTGGACGAGGCCTACAAGGACATGGATGTGAGTGAACGCTAACGCCTAGACCTTGTGCAATGTAGTTCCAAATGCATGAAAATTACAGAGCGTGGCCACACCCAAGGCACTAGTAGGCCGTGAAAGATTTCTGACGGTCTTGCGGATTGGAATGTTTGCAGAGGTGGACGAAAATGTCCATCATGAACACGGCAGGATCTCCCAAGTTCAGTAGTGACCGCACCATCCACGAGTATGCGAAAGAAATCTGGGGCATTGACACCTACCCAGTCCCTTAAGAAGAAAGATATCAGTGTTACAGTTGAAATAGTTGCACTCAGTCGCCTTGTGCAGCGTGCATCTACGAGGTGGGGGTTTCTCATCTACCTCATGTGATAAATTCCAGCGTAATGCTACATCCCACGGAGATGCGCATCTGTGATATTGGCCTCTTGTATCGTTTTCTGTGCCGTAGAGCCGGACATTGTTTAGTGTCAGAAACGGCCTGTACCTCTAGTCTCTCTTGTATTTTATCGCAAGGTAGCCTTTGTCTCGTCGAACAAGTCGACTTGGAAGCGGCTTCAAGTGCCGATGTTGTTAGAGTTCTTCATAGAGCTGAAATCCAGTCGCGGAACCCAATTTCTGTCAGTCGAGAGGCACTGAGTGACTCTATGCCAGTCGTGACGCACTCTGTACAGCCACCCACATGTTTCTAGCTTTCTCAGCAACAAATTTTGATCAATTGTGTATACATAAGCTGCAGACCTCGCCTGTGGGCTGAGGGAAGAGGGTCGCATGTTCATAACAATTTGCACCCTTCTTCCGATGTCTAGAACCTTGCCGGGTGGTGAGCAATCACCAATCCCTTGTACCCATCAGTACTTGTTTCCTTTGAATTGATCATAACAAGCTTTTTCTCCATGTACTCCGCCAAATTCTGCAAATTTGAACCTAAAGAATATTTATTACACATATTATCTCCTCACATTTTGAACTAACCCCTTTGAGAAAAATAATATTGGATGTGTGAAATCTGAGAATGCGGGTGTCGGTGCGTCTTCTATCAACAGACTCTTTGGGACAGCCATTAATTCCGTGCCATGTGTACGACAAAACCCACTTCAATCGGTTGACGAACTCTACGAAACTGCAGAGCGAACCTGTTCGCACTCGAGGAAATATCGCATGGACATCATTTATGTTACCCACAACACCACGCGTCTGGTAGAAAATCCTCCTCACACAGTGCACGAAGGAGAAGGGGACGCGAAGTAAGGCGGTGCGACTTTAACGAAGAAGAAGAATGATGGTTGGAATGATCGAAACGCCCAATAACTGATTATAGTCGCATTAGATGGAAGCCTCTCTTCTGACCCGAAGGGATTCGAGAGGGATGTAACAGTGTCAACGTCGGAACGTCGGAAAGAACGTGAACGCGAACGTGAATGATGGCTAGTGAATGTTCGTCGGGGGCGATGTGGAAGATCGCAGCGATGGGGATTTGATTCTAAATACACCTAATCTCGAGCTCAACGACGAAGAAAAGCGAAGGGGTCCAACTACAGCGAAAATGAATGATGGATGATGGGCACAGAGTCAGTAAGGAAGGATGAACAGGAAATCAGAAGGGAATTAAAAATCTCGAAGCCTACAAACAACAAAACCGAAACCTGGTCATCATCCGAATGGAACAGAAGAGAAGAGACTACGAACAAGCGCAAAGAAGTATCAGCATGCGCAACAAACAAAACACATCGAATCGGAGAGTCGCAGTGGTCGTCGTCGTGCAAGCGGAAGGATGAAGAAAAAGGGGCCTTGATCATGAGGCCGGAAAGTGCACGGTTGCCACCGGGGCCGAGCCGCAAAGTCCAGGGACTCATGGAGGACAGGGAGGGACGTAGAGAGAGAAGCAGGCAGGCAGCTGGGGTTGCCGGACGCGGACACGGACAGTGAAGCTCGGACGAGAGATTGATTCACGAGGAAGGAAGGAAGGAAGGAGGAAGAAGAAGAAGAAGAAGAGTAAGCGGAAGGGGAAGAAATTGTTCTTCCGCTTGCAAGGCAAGGCAAGGCAAGGACAAAGAGCGAGGGAGGAAAGGGGCGAAGGAAGGGAGGTCCAGATAAGAACGGGATCGGTCGTGGGGCTATCATGAGCGAAAGCAAATGGACAAGCGGACTTGGCCAATTTGGCAGGACTCGAGTAAATGCGAGCGTGCCCAAAAGCCAATTGCGAGATCGAGCGGTGGGGCCGGGCTGTCGCCGCTGGTCGGAAATCAAGGGGACATGGCAACGGGGTCTAGAGCAGAGGTTAGGGTTTCCATAATATAATCTGCTTCTCAGCAGCAGCAGCAATGGCAGCAATGGCAGACCCTCAGACCTCAGACTCTCAGAGCTCATGCTCTCTCTCGAGGTCACTGTGCGTGAGAGTTGTGCTGTGGTTAACTTCTGTGCACACCTTTCTCTCTTATCTATCCCTGGCACTCAGATTCTGCAGCCACTACATATGATTTCGAACGCCCGATCGGGCCGTGCCCCGCCCTACGCTACGCTCCGCTGCTCTGCTCTTCTCTGCCCGGCACTGCCCTGCGCTTCCCTGCGCTGCGAATAAATGAATGCCTCAATGACCGAATGAATGAATGCCTCCACGAAATGAATGAAAGAAGTTGGACCACGGTTTGGAAAGTTCTGCAATTTATAATTTTGGGGCTTTTGTGGGCAATAGTAGGGCAGGTTAATTACTCATGATGGCGAGGTTTGAACAACTTTGATCCATGTTCAACCGCATCTGTCAGCCTGCGATCCCATCCCCTTGCCCTCGCAGCCCCCTAGCAGCCCCATCAGCAGCCCCTCCCGACGACGAGGACGACGACTCGGGGCTTGAATCTCGTCGGTCGCACTACCCCACCCCGATTCTACGGCGTACGCTCTCATTTCCGTCAGGCGCTCTCGCTGCCTCGCGTCCTCGCGTCGACTCGCGTCCGGCTCAGTCGACCCGGTCTGCACGGCGACGGTATAACACGGCGACAGGACCGGACGGGGCTGGATCGGACTGCGCAGTCGGTCCAGTTGGGAACCGCTTGGGGCTAAATTGGGGCTAAATTGGGGCTAAGTTGGAGGTGGGGGGCGAAGGAAGCGGGGGCCGAGGGGGGCTTAAAATAAAGACCGGATCGTCGTCGGTTTGTCTCACGGGAGATGTTCACGGCAGGACGAAGTCGAAGGCGGCGACGAGAATCGGCTCACGATCGGCGCTGGCAGATCCGACAGCGAGCGGGATGTCGAGCGGGATGTGGCCGGCGGACGCAGCCGCAAATTCCCTCGACGCGGGGGGAGGGGGAGGGGGAGGGGCGAGACCTTCGATCGATCGTTGCTTTCTGACTGACTGACTGACTGACTGACTGAAGGACTGACTTTGTGCCTGCCTGCCTCACTTACTAACTTACTAACTTACGCGCATTGCGAGCAGATTCCGAGCTCCGGGTTTTGCTCTTCGGTTGCAACGTTGGGTTGTCGCATGCCGCCAGCAGACCTCGGCTCCGACCATGTAGACTGGACACTTTGCGAGGGCAAGGAGATCCAGCCGAGCGATCAAAGGGGCGTCCATTTAGTGCTGCAGCACACCGAAGACCCAGTCCAAGATGGTACAAAATTTTGGAAGTTTGGGAAAGGTTCCGGTTGATGTTATCTCCAACGAAAAGATACCATAAAATAAGATGTCGTGGGACTGAATGATTGCAGACATTACTACCATACTATAATGACCGGAACCCATGATTCAAAGATGCAAGTGATTACGAGGCTCTACAGCACATTCTGCCTATCCCCTCAAATCGAAGGCCCATTGATTAAAGGCTGATTATTCTTGTTTATTCCTTGCATCCAGTTGCGCTCACATGAGACACACAACACTGACCTAAGCAATTCTAATCTTTTCTAAATCCGTCCGCCCGCAGAATATTCAAACATATAAGTTTAAGATATTTTCAAATCTTGCTCCCACACTTGCCCCAACACGTACTCCCTTCCTTCCAACTTGGCCCCTCCCCCTTCCCCTCCCCCTCCCCCCACACCATGCACTATTCCTGCTCTGCTCTGCTCTGCTCTCATCTGCTCACTCCCCCCTCGCTCCCTCCCTCGCTCTCTCCCTCTCCCTCCATCCCTCCCCCTCCACTCACACTCCCCCACGCCATGCCCAGCGCAGCGTGTAGTCACTGTACCGGTCCCCAGGACCAGACCGGCCCAGCTCCGAGGGCCGAGGGGCTCGTTAGTGATAATTAGTGATCGGTGTGACTAGTGTAGTGTGGCGAGGGGCCGAGTATCTATCACTCTCGGTCACTCCCGGTCCGCTAGCGATGGAATGGAATTTAATGGAATGGAATGCGCAGGCCAGCGCAGGCCAGGGCTGTAGGAGGCTCAGGCTCAGGCCCTGTCCCTGTCGCTGTCTGTCTCTGTCTCTGTCTCACACATGCACACACACTTCCTCTCAGTCTCTCTCTCTCTCTCTCTCTCTCTCTCTCTCTGCCTGCGCTTCTGTCTCTGGAACCCTTTCGTTCATTCGGTCTGCTTCTGCGTCCGTCCGTCCGTCCGTCCGTCCGTCCTTGCTTCGTGGGACTGGCTGACTTGACTAACTGACGGGGAGAGGCAAGTTGAGGAGGAGGAGGAGGTGGAGGTGGCGGCAGCCATCTCCGAAGGGAGGCAAGTGGGAGCGCGAGATTGGCTGAGGGCGCAAACCCTCGTCATCACGCCGTGCCCAGATTTATCTTGTCTCGGAGCAATGTGCACCCTAGCATGTCTCGGCAATCATAGATATTGTGGCAGTCGATGAACGCATGCCCACCAATACGCAGCGCACACTTTGCGCTACGCCTACTGAAGCAGCTCTACTACTGCGGTACAGTACTCCTCACCTACGCTACGACCACACCACAACGGTATTGCTCATACGCTCCAGACAGAGGCTCTCCAGTTCTCTCCCCGTCTTTCCACTGGATTCCATTCCACTCGCCCTCCACTACCCCCGCACTCCACTCCCACAAGCTCAGCTGGAGTGGAGTGCTGGCCTTCGGTCTCACTCACTCACTCACTCACTCACTCCTTGGGTCGGTCTGTCCACGGTCGCAGGTCGGGCCCGATCAGGGTTCAGGGTTCAGGGTTCAGGGTCCGGTCCCTCGAGGGCAGAAGAAACTGGGAGGGCCCCCAGTGGGAGTTTGCTGGCGGGATGGCTGGATGGCCGGTTGGCAGAGACGGAAGTACATGAAGTGAGATAGAGTTGATGAAACTACACAAGCTAGGATCGGAAATCAGGGCCTACTGTACAATGACAGATAGTCTGGGAGAGACATTGCTAGAGAAGTTGAGACTGCACTGCAACTCAACTGCAGCGCACCATTTTTGTACAAATGTACCACGTGGGTGGTGGAGTGATTTTTCCTCACATACCCCCCCCAGGATCCCTCTGCTTTCTGCAGCAGCAGCAGCTGCTCTGGCTTCGCTCCTTGGTCCACAATATTGATCTCTTCCTCCTGAACTCATCTTTTTGCTCGAGTCGCAGAAGCAGAAGCAGCAGCAGCAGCAGCAGAGCATAGGCATCATAGGTCCTCGCATGGCATTTCATAGCGTAGCTTAGCTTGGCTAGCATGGCAGAAGGAGGCGTAGCGTTTGTAGGCCTAGCATAGCGTAGCACAGCATAGCATGGCGAGGAGATGGTGGTACAACATCAAACCACAGTGGGGAACAGGGAAAACACTTGAAACATTTCGCAGGTGCCCAACAGAGAGCGAGTGAGAGAGAGAGAGAGAGAGAGAGAGCAGTGCAGATGTGACCTGTGGATTCCTGACTGCGTTCGATCTGAGAAAAGGTGGACGGTATGGTGGTAATAAGAAAAAAGAAAAAAAAGGCAGATCTCTCGCGCTCTCTCTTCCTCTTCCTCACACAGTCACTCACACACACATTACCGGGAAAATAAAGCGATTGCAGCAGCAACAGCAGAGAGCAGAGTTCGTCTCCACAAAGAGAGACCAAATCTGACCCACCACCTATTTCTCTTTGTCTCATCCTCCTTTCGGATTCTCTTCTCTGCTGCCTCTCTTCTTACTAGACAATAACACTCCATAGTGTTCCACAAAAGCCACATAACTAGGCTTGGCATGAGGATGTGGTGCTCTGCTCATGTCACTAGCTGCTCCCCCCTCGGACGAGGACTACTCCCCTTTCTAGTAGGGACCTGGTGTACATAGGGACTCCACTCCACTCCTCCCCTCCCCTCCCATCCCATCCCCTCCCCTCCATTCATTCAATTCTTCGTGTTCCACTTACTGTCCTCACCTGACACACTACGGGGCTACTACTAAATCTACTACGGTGCATCTACCGATGTACTGAACGATCAGGCTCCAGTATTCGTACCGGAACGAATACTCGTACGCTGTGACTCTACCACTCTACTCCGATTCTAGTCGTGTACCGGTTCCAAACCACCTGACCTAAAAGGATCAAACTGATAGTAAGTAATAGCAGGACCGGCAGGGAGCACATCAGATTCCTTGCCTACATGGAAAGGGGCAGCGGCATCTTACATGGCCATTGAATCGTCCCAACAGGCTGCTGCCCCAACATAATAAACATGACAGACAGTTGTATTTGGTTCACTCATGCAGAAAGACGGACTCCAGATCCGAACGGTCCTGAACGCAACGAGCTTCAGTGCCTCGCCTAGCTTGGCTGCAGTGCATTGACATCCATCCTATCATCGTGCCAGCGCCCTCGGCCGCTTCATCAACGCTTGACCCAGTCCATCTCTCTGGATCGATTCCATCCATCCCTCTCTCAGCACAAACAGACTTTCGTAATTAATTATCAGACCCACTACAGCGCCGGTCGACCGACCTGATCGCTCATGAAAATCGTTTCCCCTTTTTTACCACCACCAAACGTACTGTCTTCAACCACTCCACCTCCCCATCGCTCCTTTTCCCCTTAACCCTAATAACCCCCTAGTCAACCCCCCCTCCCCTTTTTAAAAGCGCGGTGTCATCTTCTGAATAGGTTATCAAACTGAACCCGGTGGCTGGGGCTGGGGCTGGGCTTGGGCTTGGGGTTCCGTTTGGGGTTCCGTTTCCATCATCGGCCATCCTGGCCAGATTCCCAACCGAGCTTTCTGCGAATGATTACTATAAATGGAACCTGGGTCAAATGTATGTTCCCCCAGGTGCCATCCGACCTTCCGAAAACGATAGAAGATGTTGTTTTCCCACGTCGAGAGTTGCTCGCCAGCCTCAATCCGAAACTCGATTGTGTTGGTGCCTTCGTAAACTTGACACCATGATCAGAATTCTACATGCTCTGCCGTCTCTCTCTCTCTCTCTCTCTCTATGTTGTGAAAGCATTTTCAACTTTTATTCGTTCAGCGGCCACCTTTGTTGACAATAACTTTTTGTAAGAGCAGATATTGTTTGTCAGTCTACTGTATTAGAGAAATGCATGTTGAGCGGAATTTGTTGTCCTACCCTTTGACCATAACAACGAAATAGAGCTCTGCATGTAACACGGATTAAAGGTCCCAGGGCATTTTTTAGAATGATGTGCATTGTACACTCGGGGCTCCTTCGAGTGATTCGTGGGATTGAGAGGTTGGTTAAGCATGAGTATTAATTATATAGTCAAGATGTACATTCTGTCCTCAAAATTCAAAACGTCTATATACATTCGCGAATCATACATGTTAAGCTCACAGCTCAGCTTCCAGTTTAATGTAAAATAATACTTCAAATCAAAAAATTCATTCAAGATTTCTAGCTCATAACTTACAATCATTCGTTGAAGTAAAGATAGATTGTGATTTCTAATGTTTATAAATGAAATTCATCAATAATCTAATTATTAATCATCTGGAAACTTTTGATTATCTTAAATATCAAAGGCTAAATAATATCTTACTTTTTAAAAACTCCTTCAAAGTTCATAGTTACTTCAAGACAATATATACCACACAAAAATCATATGCAATAGCATATGCGAAAGTAAAATATCTTCATATTAATTTGATCAACAAAGTTGTTCGCATGTTATGAAGTGTAATTGAAATTTTTTTTCATATAAATTTGAATTTTTATAGTCATATAGAAATTGATATGAAAGTCAATGAAAAAATTTATTGTCAACTTTTGGAGTGAAAAGGTTAAAATAGACTTGCGCAAATAATCATTTCGTGCAATATTCAACATAACAATAAAAAAGTAAAATGAATGAAATCTTTATACAGAATTTAATTTCTTGGAAAAAGTCAAGATTAACAACTGTTTAGTTTAATTATCTATGAGTAAGACCAACTTGGTAGTAATATGCTTGACCCCACATCATTGACTTTGATAGCAAATTTGATTCCTCAAAGAATTTTTAGACTCAAAACAAAACACATTTTGTCTGTTGTTTACTATTTTCATTAAAAATTTGTGAACGATCAAACCAAGAAAACATTAAACACTCATGAGATACAAATGTAACGTCGTTCACCTTCGGGGAGGAATGCTACGTCCACCCAGAACTCGAGCACCTTTACTTCAGGTCATATCCATAAAGATTCTATATACATATAGACCCCAAAAATTTTATCCATAGTCCAAGCGACCGTACTAGCTATAAATAACTAGGACCCAAGGTTACTCCTTAATTGCACTTAATCTCAACAAAATTGATACTACTATTCAAACAAAAGCGCATATACTATCAGATCTTATAACCATTTGCATTATAAAAACAAGAATTCAAATTCACAATGTGAAATCTACGAAATGTAGATCAATCCAACTTGACTATAAATACATAAATTTTGTATTATG